GAGTAGTTTAATGTAGGGCTTCATGAATAAACTAACATCCTTTGAACAAATCTAGTTCCATCCTTTATGCAGAATAAGATAATTTTTACCAAAATTGTTCATTATCCTTTGGTGGGAAATGACTGTTAATCCATTAGAGTTGACATGTAAAAACATAATGTAATTAGCATTTGTAAGTTTAGAAAAATATTTAATATCACTTCAACCTTTTAGCCCTTGAGCATGAGTCAGGTTTTCAGAAATCCTTTTGTTGTATGCAAGGCTATCAGTGTAATTTCTTATTTAAAAAAGGCTGAAAGCATCACATACTGTCTAGCTAGAGTTTAACTCATGATCAACCCAGAGTATTTAAAATAAAATGACCATTTTTCCAAGATGCAGTGGAGTCTGAAATTATGAATGAACATATATAAAGTGGTGACATGTGCTAGGGTGGTTCAGTGGTACAACAGTTCCCTGTAAGGAGTGAGGCTTTCTTAAAAAGCTACTGCACAGCATCTGTGTGTTCACAGGACTTTAAGCACGCTACGTGTTTTAAAGCTCATTTAACCTTTACAAAACAAGCTCAGGTGTGTGAATTCAGTTACAAATGTATAAACACATTTTTAAAAATAAAGAAGACACTGGTGAGGTTTAGCAATTTATGCAAAGTCACATAGTGAGTTACAGAGTTGAGATTCAAATTCAGTCTGGCTCCGCAGTCCAAGTGTTTAAGACCAGCGCCCACACTGCATCAGGAAAACAACTGTTTTTTCCTCTCTCACCTCCATTACCACTTTTCAGTTTTTGTGGATCTAAATCTGAACACATACAAAGAAATAGATCTCTGAGTGAAGATACTCACTGAAATCATTGATTCATTGAAATCAGACTGTATGTCAGGTACTGTTCTAAGCTTCTGGCTGTGTGAATCCATATTCAAGAATTTCTTTTAATGGAGTCATATGTGGCAGAAGTTTCTAGTTTGAATGCAAATATTACCATATTCACATTTATAAATAGCCTCCATGTTTGAGAGAGAGGGAGGGTATTCGTGTGTTCAACAAATGTAACACAGAATAAAATCTATTGTATTTTCTTTCTCTTAATTTGCATCACTTTTCATTGTTTGAACACCAATAGTGATTTTTTTTTTTTTTTTTTTGGTTTTTTGAGACAGGGTTTCTCTGTGTAGCTTTGCGCCTTTCCTGGAACTCACTTGGTAGCCCAGGCTGGCCTCGAACTCACAGAGATCCGCTGGCCTCTGCCTCCCGAGTGCTGGGATTAAAGGCGTGCGCCACCACCGCCCAGCTCCAATAGTGATTTTTTTTTTTTTTTTTTTTTTTTTTTTTTGGTTTTTCGAGACAGGGTTTCTCTGTGTAGCTTTGCACCTTTCCTGGAACTCGCTTTGGAGACCAGGCTGGCCTCGAACTCACAGAGATCCGCCTGGTGATTTTTAATCTAAGTGCTATTAAGGAGTGCATATATCTGCATGGCTTTCTTGGGTATTTCCAAAGGCCATCTAGCTAATAAGTAGAGCCAGAGTTTGCATCCAACACTGTCTGATACCACTGTCTTCATTATTCATGCTTTCTTTTTTCCTTTTAAAAGCTATCGTTAGAATTTAAGATACTTAAAGACAGCTCCTTCATATGAGGGTTTGTGCCTAGTCTTTTGTTTTATTTTACAATGTAATTTAATTCTACATATCAGCCACGAATTCCCTTGTTCTCCCCCCCTCCCGCCCCCCCTCACCTTTCCCCCAGCCCACCCCCCATTCCCACCTCCTCCAGGGCAAAGCCTTCCCCACAGACTGAGGTCAACCTGGTAGACTCAGTCCAGGTAGGTCTAGTCCCCTCCTCCCAGGCCGAGCCAAACAATCCTGCATAGGCCCCAGGTTTCAAACAGCCAACTCATGCAATGAGCACAGGACCCGGTCCCACTGCCTGGATGCCTCCCAAACAGATCAAGCCAATCAACTGTCTCACCCATTCAGAGGGCCTGATCCAGTTGGTGACCCCTCAGCCATTGGTTCATAGTTCATGTGTTTCCATTCGTTTGGCTATTTATCCCTGTGCTTTATCCAGCCTTGGTCTCAACAATTCTTGCTCATATAAACCATCCTCTTTCTCGCCAATTGGACTCCCAGAGCTCCACCCGGGGCCTGGCCGTGGATCTCTGCATCCAGATCCCTCAGTCGTTGGATGGGGTTTCTAGCACGACAATTAGGGTGTTTAGCCGTCCTATCACCAGAGTAGGTCAGTTCGGGCTGTCTCTCGACCATTGCCAGCAGTCTATTGTGGGGGCATCTTTGTGGATTTCTGTGGGCCTCTCTAGCACGTTGCTTCTTCCTATTCTCATGTGGTCTTCATTTACCATGGTCTCCTATTCCTTGTTCTCCCTCTCTGTTCTTGATCCAGCTGGGATCTCCCGCTCCCCTAAGCTCTCTTTCCCTCGACCCTCGCCCTTCATTACCTCCACTCATGTCCAGGCTGTTCATGTAGATCTCATCCATTTCTCCGTCATTGGGCGATCCCTGTGTCTTTCTTGGGGTCCTGTTTTCCAGGTAGCCTCCCTGGTGTTGTGAGTAGCAGTCCAGTCATCCTTGTTCCACATCTAGTATCCTGCTATGAGTGAGTACATACCATGTTTGTCTTTCTGAGTCTGGGTTACCTCACTCAGGATGATTTTTTCTAGATCCATCCATTTGCCTGCAAACCTCATGATGTCATTGTTTTTCTCTGCTGAGTAGTATTCCATTGTGTATATGTACCACATTTTGTTTATCCATTCTTCAGTTGAAGGGCATCTAGGTTGTTTCCAGGTTCTGGCTATTACAAACAATGCTGATATGAACATAGTCTTATTATAACTTGTTATGCTGTGTTTGGTTGATATCCCTGGGAGGCCTGCTCTTTTCTGAAGGGAAATGGAGGAGGAGTGGATGGGGGAGAAGGGAGGTAGGGGACACTGGGAGGAGTGGAGGAAGGGGAAATAATGGTCAGGATGTAATATATGAGAGAGGAATAAAGAAAAAAGAAAAGATAGCTACTTCCTTCTCTTCTTAAAACCTAGCTTTGTTGGAGTTAGCATTAATGGTTATACACTATTGTTTCTTAATCTGTAGGACCAGGGTTCAGATTATGTAGAATTCTAAATATGTTCACTAAATCCAACTTATTGTTTAATTTGCCTATATATTTTCTATTTTTTCTGCTAGAACTATTATTAATTGAGACATAAGTCAACTTTCTGTTCTGGTGGATAAATTGACAGTTTCTCCCCTTGCTTTGGTATTTGCATGGAATATTATCCTCACCTTTAGCAATAAATGCATGTAATTGCTAACTAAAGAAGCTACCTATTCTAGAATACCTTGTTCTGGGTCCAGGTCCTATCAAAATGCTATTTCAATGAAATTTGACACTACATGACCACACAGAATGAACAAATTGTCCACCAGAGCTCCAGTTTTGACAAGTGATCTTAGCCACGACTTGGCCCTCAAACTTGCTATGTAGCAAAGGATGCCCTGAACTTTCTGATCTTCCTGTCTGTGCCCCCTGAGTGCTGGGGTTACAGATGTGAGCCACCAAACTTTGTTGATAAGGTGCTGGGGCTTGAACCCAGGGCTTCATGCATGCTAGGAAAGCACTCTGTCAATTGAGCTACATCTCCAGCTGTAATTATATGATGTTCTAACATAAAAAAGCATTGCCAAAGATGCTTGATGGATTTCTACTGTGTGCGTAATGATTTATAAACTTCTTCGTTGTCAAGAATACTTAGGAGGTATATAAGTCAGCTCTAACCCATCTCTCCCTCCATTCTCCTTTATCATCAAAAGTACTCATAGGGTAGAAAGATGGTTCAGTGGATATGAATGCATATTACTCTTCCAGAGGATTCTAGTTATTTTCTCAGCACCCGTATGGAGTGGCTTACAACTGCCTGTAACTCCACCTCCATGAGATCTGATGCTCTCTTCTGGTATACCGTAGCACCTGCATACACATGGTACACACACACACACACACACACACACACACACACACCCTTAAAACACTCATTTTAATAAGGCAAGATCTGCTTCCTCTGTAAAAACCCTCACATGTAAATAGTGTTTTCTTTCTTTGTCTAACTATCTCTCCCTCTCCTGTCTATGTGTAGAGGAATTCCTAAATGGTCTTATTAAATTAAAAACACGGAGCCAGAAATTTGGGTTAAAGTCCTAGAGAGATCAGGGAAATACAGAAAGCCACCAGCTAACTTCACCTCACCAACTCTGCAGCTTCCAAAGACAGAATTGGCTACATCTGTAAATTTTCATAGATTTAATTTGCAATTCCTTGATAGCATGTAGCACAAAGTACTGTGTTCATGTGTGCAAATTTCTGAAAGGCAGGGACCATGGTTTACTCATTTCTGTATCTCCAGTGCTTTGCAAAATACTTCATAGAGTGGTGCTCAACAGCTATTCATGAAATGGGAGAAGCTGCTCTCAAGTGCAGGGCCAGTGGAAGTTATCTGGGAGGTAGCGGGGGTGGTAGAATCTTTTGAAGCGTTATCAGGAAGCTGACTAAATTCCAGGAACACAGGAACTAGTCAGGAATGAAGAACTGAGCCTAAACTGGTAGTCCCCTTCAATGCAGAGACCCCTGCCTGATTATTTGGGTTAATAGAATTGGGACTTGAGAACACAGAATAATAAAGTTGGATGTCAAGGACCTACTTTGTGGAGGGAGAGTTTGACTCAGCTGGTTCTATGATCTTTCCTAAGATGCTTATTCTGAATGACCCAGCAGTTTCCCAGAGTCATGAGTAGTTTCTCAAAAAAAAAATCGTCAGAGGGCCTGGTTCAAGTGTGAAAGTAGAAATGGTGAATAGATCAGATTCTTTTACTTTGTCTTTTTAGCTTGACTCAAGGAGGAGGTGTCCTGGAGAAAGGTTCTAGGGCTGTACAGTTACTCTGGACTTAATCTGGACTTATCTTTGTGTAATTAATTGTTCTTTTATTTCAGACAACTCTGGTCACTCAACTCGCCCGGTTGCTTTGAAGAAAGAAGATAAAGAGTAGAAATACATCATGTCGGAGATACTAGACCTCTCTTTTCTGTCTGATATGGAAAGGGATTTGATCCTTGGTGTTCTGCAGAGAGATGAGGAACTCAGAAAAGCAGATGAGAAAAGGATTAGGTAAGAGTCCCAGAAACAGTATGTACTTCCAGGCTTCCAACCAAGAATACCCAAGCTTTCCCATTGCTTCTTCACTCACTGTCGGAACTAGGGCTATGATTTTCAACTCAGTGGGTCGAGTTTGGCTCCGAGTCTGTTCCTTTTACACTGCCATTACCTCAACTTGTTAAGATCCTGAACCCACTTGTGCCTCTGATTTTGGGTCTTGGCAGGCGACTGAAGAATGAGCTCCTGGAGATAAAACGGAAAGGTGCCAAAAGGGGCAGCCAACACTACAGTGATCGAACCTGTGCCCGGTGCCAGGAGGGCCTGGGCCGTTTGATTTCCAAGAGCAACACCTGTGTGGGGTGCAATCATTTAGTGTGTCGAGAATGCCGCGTTCTGGAAAATAATGGTTCCTGGAGGTGCAAGGTGTGCGCCAAGGAAATGTGAGTGTCACTTAACAGCATAGTAGAGGGGAGATGAGTCAGGCTGTAGTGCGAATTTTTGTCGTCAACTTTATTAGTGGAATGGCAAGAGTCATTATTTATACATCTGACTTTTATTTTTTTCTTTTCTCCCAGAGAGCTGAAGAAAGCAACTGGAGATTGGTTTTATGATCAGAAAGTAAACCGCTTTGCATACCGAACAGGCAGTGAGATAATCAGGATGTCCCTGCGCAGGAAGCCTGCAGGTATTGACCCGGGCTAGAGGCTGTTCCCTGAAGGACCTAGCTTCAGGGTTAGGTAGGCTTCTGTAGAATCCAGCTGCATTCTGGCCACTGGCCATTTAACCCGAGGGGCTCAGCCAGTTTGTGGGAATGTAAAAGAATGTATCCATTCCCCCAGCAAGTGTGTGCTCTAGGGGAGATGCTTTGACAGTTGTTTCTTTCCTTGCCCGGGTCACTACTAGCCTGCCATGCTTTTGTTTTGAAGCAAGCAAAAGAGAGCCAGTGGGTCAGTCCCTCCTTCAGCAGCCACAGATGGGTGAGATCTGGCCAGGAAGAAAGAGCATTCAGGAACAACAGAGGGAACCCAGGTAAGAGCCAAGGAATTATTATTGTTCAATTCTTCTATTACCTTAATTCATTTCCTAAAATAATAGGCATTATTAGAGGGACATTGGAAAGTACAGATAAAATCAAAGAAGGAGAAAAAAATTAATCCTGATCCCATTAGCCCCATGTAAATATCAACATTGTGGCAAATTTACTTTGTTCTTACGCTGCACTGTGCTGTGAAAAAGAAAGCTGTTGACTCTTAACAAAGATTTATTTACTTAAAAAGTTGTGTGTCTGTCTGCAGGTATGTGCCCATGTGTGCAGGTGCTTTCAGAGGCCAGAGGATGTTAGATCTCCTGGAGTTGGACTCCTCAGCAGTTGTGAGCCACCTCACAAGGGTGCTGGCAACTGAGCCTGGGTCCTCTGCCAGAGCAAGAAGCATCCTTAACTGTGGAGTCGCTCGCTTCATCTCTCCAGTCCCACATCAGCTTTCTCCCATACCTCCCTAATCTTTTCTTTTACTTAATTTTTCTCAGGCTTTGTGATATTTTCTTTCTGTTATACAACTGTAAATCAACAGACTTTAAAAACCGGTTTAGTTTTAGTGTCATATTTATAAGGATTGTTTGCAATCTGGCCTCACACCCTGACTTCTCTACTCCTGAATTCTTTACTTTGGCTTTATTTCTTGGTTGTCTAGATTTCATCATTGGGAGCTTCCTTCAAGAAGGGTTTGTGATGTTTATTGCATTCTTTCATTTTCAGAATGCCTGCCATTTTCAGAATACCTTTGCACTCGAATAGCATCTTAGCTGAACATTACGGGCTTGAGTCGTGCTTTCGTTCTCTCAGACTGTTGTGGATGTTGCTCTGTTGTCTTCTGCCATTGAGTCTAACTATGAAAAAGGCCACCTTGACATTTTTACCCTTGTAGGCAACTGTGTGTGTGTGTGTGTACATGCACAAATACACATGGGTGTGTATGGATATGAGAATTTGTGTGGATATAATCGGATTTACTGGGAAAAATGCTTTTTTCTTGAGTATTAGTAATTTAAAAATGTAAGTCAACGATGGTTATTCCAAACTATTTTTTCTTGATATATGATATACTCTTGATGACATTTTTCTTTATAATTGGAATTTTTCTGTACCATGTCCTTAAACATTTTTCCTGTTTTGTTAGTTAAGGGCACCACCTCACGGATATTGGATTTCATTTATCTTCTGTTTGTATAATTTTTTTAAAAAACTGCATGATACAAAAGCAAAAGAGAAAGATGGAAGCAATTTACCATGGAGACCCCAACTTATTCTTTTCTTCCATGCTATTTGAATTTGGGATATTATTTTTCTTTCTCCCTCCCCACCCCATGTCTCTTCCTCTCCACTTTCAGACTTTAATTTAATGGTCTGAAGAAATTATCTTCAGATTTTAATTTTGTTTTTCTTCAATTGTTTTATCATTTTTGTTGTTTTATCATCTTGTATTTGAGCTCATGCACTTTATCAAGTCTACATTATGCTTGTCCAAAAAGAACCAAGTATATTTATGCAAACCAAGACAACTGTGACATTATTATATGATGTAAATTTGTGGGCCCACCATCATATATGCACTCCCTCTTGGAGTGAAATATCATTACATATCACATGGATAGTTTTTTAAATTAATTTTATTTTAAAAAGATTATTAAACTTCATTTTGGAGCTAAAAAACTAGAGCATCTATTTGCTCACTTAAAAAGAGATTTTTAAACTTTGTTTTGGAGCTAGGGATCAAACTCAGAACCTTGTGCTTGCTAGGCAAGTGTTCTACCACAGAGCTAAATTGCCAACCCAAGATTTAAATTTTTTAACTGATACAAAAAATTGTATTTACTTATGGGATAGCATGTGGTATTTTAATAAAAGCATACATCATGTAATGCTTAAATCAAGTTAGGTAAAGCTACTTTTCATAATTCTCACCTCTTTATGGTGAAAATATTCAAAACTTTTTCTTGTTTTTTAAAGATCCAGTACGTCGTGTCATGTGTAGTCGTGTAGATGGAGCCTTGCACCCTGAAACTTCTTACACTGGTCCAACTGTAACTTAGCACTCTCTCATTCTCCCTTCTTCTGACAGGCACTATTTCACTCCTATGTGCATGGAAAATGTGCCTGCTTGTATGTCTGTGTACCACATTCGTTCCTTGTGCCTGCAGAGGTCAGAAGAGGGTATTGGATCCCCTGGGATTGGAGTTAAAGATGGTCGTAGGCTACCATGTGGGTGCTGGGGAACTGAGCCAGGGCCCTCATGATGAGAAACCACTTCTCTTAATCACTAGGCTATCTTTCCAGCCCTGTTGTACTTATTTTTCTGTAATTCTAGAGGAGAGGTGGAAGGTAGGCTGTAGTCGCAATGTGTGTCTCCCGAACTTCTAAAATCTTAGGTTTTCTCATTTATTTTTTGTCTGTAGTGTGTGTGTGTGTGTGTGTGTGTGTGTGTGTGTGTGTGTGTGTGTGTGTGTGTCTGTCTGTCTGTGTGTGCAAATGAGGAGGTCAGAGGAAGACATCAGGTGTCCTGCCCTAACGTCCTCTACCTTATTCCCTTGAAACAGAGACTTGCACTGAGCCTGGAGCTAGGCTGGCTGCCATCTCGGTGGTCCTTCCCCTCCTTCCACACAAAGCAATGTGTTCAGGCTCGTGGTAATAACACCTGGGTTTTACATGGGATCTGGGGATCCAAACTCAGGTCCTCATGCTTGCAAAGCAAGCATTCTTACTCACTGACCCATCTCCTCAGCACCCTCAAATCTGTTTTCTTAACTATTGTGTGTGTGTGTGTGTGTGTTTTGTAACCTTTTGATTTGTGGACTTATACTTTACCCCATTTGTTTGTTGCTGGGGTATTTTAGGCATATGGGTTGTAAAGAGTTTTTCTTAAATCTTACCTCAACCAAAGTGAAAAGATTTTATTGCACTTTTTATGATGGCTAAAGAACAGTATAGGGCTGGTGGCACATGTCTCTATTTCCAGGTCCTTGTGAGGCTGCAGGAGGAGGCCCAGAAGCACTTTGAACTCTGTAGTAAAACCAGAGATTGAAAAGAAGTATACAGAAACATGATAGTGAAGTTCTCCAGTAACCTCATTTTCCTTGCCCAATCATTGTTAATAGTCATTGATAATTTTGGCATGTGAACTACCAAGATCTCCAAACATACCTATGTGAGCTAAACTCCTGCATTTTAATTGTTTTTAAAAGATTATATTATGGACATGTTAAGTATAAAATGAAAGAAAAAGAACTTTATAAACAGTGATACAGACAATGTCATAGAAAAGGAGCAAAAGCTCTGAACAGATATTTTATTAAAAATAATATTCAGATATCAAATAATGATGTTCAACATCATCAATCACTAGAAGAATGCAAATAAAATAGCGGTGAGATGCCACATGCCCACCAGAATGGTTAGCATTTCAAAAGCTTGACAATACCAAGCGCTGGATGTAAAACAACGGAACTTCTCATTCACTTCTGTGGAGAAGTGTTTACCATGGTCAGGTGCTCTGGAAAAGTTTAGTCTTTTAAAAGTTCACTGTACAACTACTGTGTGATTCAGATGTTTCATTCACAGACATGTAACTCAAGAGACGTCAAAGCATATGCCCATGCAAAGACTTATGTATGTATATTTGTAGAAGTTTCATTTATTTTTTAGGACAGTAAGGAATTTTTTTTTTTAAATTTGGCAGGGCTGGGAACTGAACTTATGGCCTCATACAAGCTAGGCAAGTATCTCCTAGTAAATTATATTCCCAGACATGGAATTGAAAAAACAAAACAACCATGTCAGTGTATGGGCCTGGAGAGATGGCTCTGCTGCCGCTGGTTGCCACTCTAATGTGAGGACTAGAGTGGAGATCCTTCCAACCCATTTAGTAGTTGCTTTGGTGTAGCACTTGGGGAGGCTTCGACAAAGAATCACATAGCAAGATGACGGTTTACTATGTCAGCCAGAAACCCTGCCTCAATATATGACGAGAGGGACCAAGGAGGACACCAATGTCAATATTGCACACACACACACACACACACACACACACACACACACACACACACACACACCTACCTACATATATGTAAACGTTTATACACCCATGCATACCACTCACATATGTTTTTAGGTATGTTTCATCAGAGAACTACTTAAATTATTTTATGTTTATAAAACTCTGGAAAACAACAAAGCAAATTTAGTAACTATACATATAGTATGTAAAACCAAAAGATGGCATATTAATAGTAGTCATGCAAATTTGATATGCTACGTTATACTACTCTAGTAAAACTGCTCCTCTGCTTACTTTTTATCTCCTATTTTTCTTTTTTTTAAAATAGACTTTATCATGTGTAGATGATTACAGCTACAGTGAGTTTTGTGGGTGGTCCACTGGCCATGCCATGCCCCCAACACAGACTTTCACAATACTGTTCCTCAGCCTCTGGCTCTTGCATTCTTGTACCTTTCTGTGATGTTCCCTGAGCCTTGGCAGGGGATGGGAGGATGGTTGATATAGATGTTGTATTTAGGGCTAAGCACTCAGTAGACACTTATGCTCAGTACTTTGATGAGTTATAACTCTCTGTATTAACTGCTGACCACTGCAGAGAGAAATTTATTTGGCCAAAGTTGAGGGCAGCACCAATTTATGGGTGTAAATATAAATATTTAGAAAGCAGTTTGACAACATGTCATTTACCAAAACAACAGTTGTAGGTTTTTTCCCCTAGGGCCTCTGACCTGCCGAGCCGTGGGCTTTTGATCAGGTTTACAATACCAGGCCTCAATTCTTTCTGTGGAGCAGTTAGTCATCCTCATAAACTTCATGCCACTATTGCCCCAGTGGGTGCATTCTGCCTGGCAGGTCAGCATCTAGGGTTGGCTTCACGGATACCAATGATGTGATTTTTTTTTCTCCCAGTGGCCTATGCAGCACCTTCCAGTACCATGAAAACTTATCAGCAGGAATGAAGTAGTTGTATGGCCTTGTCCTACATTCTATTCCATTGATCTATGAGTCTGTTTTTGTGACAGTACCATGTTGTTTTTATTACTGTGGCTCTATCGTATAACTTGAAATCTGGTATGATGATACCTTCAGCAGTATTCTTTTTGTTCACGATTGGCTACTGGGGTCTCTTATGCTTTTGTATGAGTTTTAAGATTGTTTTCTACTTCTGTGAAGAATGTCACTGGAAATTTGATAGTGATTGTTTGAATCTGTAAATTGATTTTAGTGAAATGGCCAATTTGACTTTTCACATATTGATTTTTTTCAATTGATAAACCTGGGAGGTCTTTCCATCTTCTAGTATATTTCTCAGTTAATTTCTTCAGTGTTTTGAGGTTTTTATTGTAGAAGTCTTTCACATCCTTGGTTAGGTTTAGTCCAGTGTATTCCTAGGCTAGTGTGACTGGAACTGGTTTCTTTTGAAGTTTGCTTGTCATTTGTATATAGAAAGACTAGTGACTTTTGTAGATTGAGTTTAGATCTTGCCACTTTGCTGAAGGTGATTATCAGTTTTAAGAGTTTTCTGGTGGTGTCTTTAGGGTCTGTTATGTGTACAATCACTTCACTCGTGATAGCTAAACCCTGGAAACAATTCAAGTGCCCACCAACAGGTGAATGGAGAAACTGGTTTGCTTATGCCACAGAGTACTAATCTGGTAATGAAACAATGAACTATATATGCACATATGTTGAGTAAAAAGCAGTAAACAAAAAAGTACCTACGTTCTGAGTGTGGTGGTGCAAACCTTTGGTCCCAGCAGTTAGGAGACAGGACAAAAGGTGGACCGCTGAGTTGAAGGCTGGCCTGGTCTACATAGCAAATTCTAGGCCAGCCAGAGCTACATAGTAAGACCACACTCCAAAACAAACAAACAAACAAACAGAACAAACAAACAGAACAAAACAAAAAAGAGAACTTGCTTTGTGAGTCTATATGACTCTGTTATATAAATTTTCAAAAAATACAAACTAATTTTTAGCGACAGAACTAGATCAACATTTGCCTGGAACCAGGGCCTAGAAGGGAAAGGTCGGATTGCTAAGAGGCATGAAGACACGTTGGGAGAGTGATTAATATGTTCCTTAACTAAACTGTGGCAGTAGCTTTTGAAATGTATATCTGTTGCCAGAAGTCATCAGTGTGCGTAATTAAGCACGTACAGCTTATTTGTGCCAATTAGTTAAAGACAGCAGAAGACTGCAACACAGGCACTTTTCCAGCACCAGAGCACTTCATTGGTTTTTCTGCTTGTGTGCTGTTTGACTGTCTATATGTTCTGTGATTTTATCAGATAGCCTTGGGTGCATGAGTCATCTGTTCCAGGTGATGAGGCCCCCTTAGTCCTTTGTAGTTAAGGTTAAAATGGCTTTTATTTGCTGAACTTGATTAACGCATCTGACATCACTGGTCAGAATGTAATTTCTGAAATCTCCTGCTTCTGGCTGTCTGGGACCTCTTGTCTCATTGGATTGAGAAGCCTCTTATTTATTATAAACATGAAAACAAATTGAGTGAGCATAAGTGATTTTTACATAAAATTATGGAGCCTCAGAGATAATTGAATTCAACCCTTTTATTTTTATAGAAAAGAAGGCAGGATAAATGATTTACCTGAGATCATACAGATAAAGACCAGGACTCCTATCTCTGAGTTTATTTTTACTGCACAGATGTCAAATAATTGCTTTTTTGCCCTACGGTTGTTTACATCAGCTCAGGATCAGAACGTATTCATCTTTAGAAAAAAAAAAAGGAAAGAAGTACAAGCACCAAACACTCCATGAGCCATTGTTGAATAGTGTCTCTAGAGGAATGATTGTTTGAAGTCCTTTTTCACTTTGCAGGGAAGAGGACAAAAGAATGATTTTAGAGTAAAGCAAAGCAAAGAAAACCAAACACCTTGCTGTGTCTTGCGTGATAAAGCTGGTACAGTTATTGAGAATGACCTCTGTTTCCCCTCCTGTATATGCGAAGATTTCAACTCAGCTCCTTCTATTTGTTGGCACAGACCTATCTCAAACATCACCTGACAAGTTGGAAAATTTTTTCTCCACTGGCTGAGACGTTGAGATAGTAGAGATTTGGTTACCTTGTTTTTGTTCATTTATTTGCTAAATGTACGTGAAAGCTTACTATGTGCTGAATACTGTTTTATGTACTGGGGTACTATGGTGTATACAAAAGGTCCCTTGTTTGTAGATTGTAGCTTTGGATGTAGGGAGCGCATAAAGCAAATAATGAAATATATAGTCTGTCAGATGTTGACAAGTGTGATAGAGAAAATTAACTGGACTGAAAGGCTATGGAGTGCCAGGAACACATGTGTGTACATGTGCTATTTTCCTTAGGCTATTTAGGGCAAGTCTGAATAGTAAGATGACATTTGAAAAAAATGTAGGGGCAAACAGAGAGAGTATTTGGAGCATAGGAGCATTGTCGACAGAAAACTCAGGAGGTCTAAAGAACTCAGAATGAGTTTGACACACGTGTAGTCTGGAGTTGAGTTGGAGGGTGTTGGTACATGTAATTAGCATGGACATGGATGGGAAACCAGTCGTGTAACTTTTGTTGACCCCTGGAAAGACTGTATTTTGAGAGAGAGGAGGCTATTAGAACCAATGTTATGATTTTATTGCTTCTTTTTGTTGTTGTTGTTGTTTGCAAATTGAGATAGAATTCACATAACATTAAACCGTCATTTTCAATTTTGTCAAGTTAGTCTGTGAGTGTTAGAAATTTTAGGATGTTGTGCAACTGTCACAGCTATTGATCGTTGGAACATTCCTATTGCTCCAAAAAGAAACCTTGTACATTAACTAGCCCCTGCTAGTTCTTCCTGCCCTTAATCTAGGTTCTACCTCTCTGTGTTTACATACTCTGGATTTATCATCTGAATTGAGTCATACCAACTGTGCATATTCTGACTGATTTCTTTCAGTTAGTGTAAAATTTTCAATATTCATTCCTGTTGCTGTAGATACTAGAGTTTTATGCTCTCTTACAGATGAACAATATTCCTTTGTGTTGCTATACAATATTTTGGTTATCCCTTCCTCTGTAGATGAGCATTTGGACTATTTCTACCTTTTGGGTATTAAGAATAATGCTATATGAGGCTGGGGAGATGGCTCAGGTGTTAAGATCACTTGTTCTCCTTACAGAGGACCTGGGTTTGGGTCCCAGCACCCACTTGGTGATACACAACCATTTGTAACTCCGGTTCCAAGTGATCCTGTGCCCTATTACTGACCTCTGTGGGCACCAGGCATGCACATGGTACACAGACATACATGCAGGCAAAACATTAATACAAATAAATCAACAAATGAATGAATGAATAAATCCTAAAGAAATCAGGGAAAAGGGCTATAATGTCACCTCCAGGTATGCTGTTGCAGGCCTGTAATCCTAGCATTTTCGAGCAAAGGCAGGTGGATCTCTGTGAGTTTGAGGCCAACCTGGCCTGCATAGAAAGAAGGACAGCCTTAGGATATTTAGAAAGGAGGGGATCTTAGTCTTCTGGGATGTAGAGTATGAAGAGAGTGAAGGGTGAAAGATGAACCTGGAGACCTTAGAAGGGGCAGGTCATTAGAAGTTTCATGTGACGTTAAGGAGTTTGAACTCAGTTTCCACAGAAATGGGAAATGATTTAGGTGTTTTCGAAGTCTCCTCACATGGTTGGGCATGAGGCTTAGTGGGAGAGTATTTGCTTGGCACATGTGAGGCCTTGGGTGTGAGTCCCAGCATTGTAAAGTTGATTCACATTTATGTTCAAAAAGATCATTCAGGTGACTACTACGGATCAGAGGGAAAGAGACCTATCCAGAGGCAGGAGAGTTCAGTTCCTGTAAAACACCAGATCTTGGTTTTTATTCTAGTGTGCCGTTCGAGGTGCCAAAGCTGGAAAGTGGAAAGAGCACGCTGGAGGCTGAGAGCGAGAGTCTGGATAGCTACACAGCTGACTCGGATAGCACCTCCAGGTGGACTTTCCCGTCTGTCTCACCTCGTTTCAGGCTGAGCTCGGATCTTGTTCTCTAGCATCAGGATGCAGGTTTCTTCTGCCTTGAGTGGTCCTGGTTTCTGTCCTTGGGCTGTTGAATGACTCTTTCCTCCAACCTCGCCAGGACTCTCTCTTTAGTACTTCTCTTGCTTTGGCTCTGAGCACAGCTTCCTGGAATGAGCTAACTTCCCCTGGATGCTGCACTGTGGAGGATTCTGTTACTGTCCCTAAGGAAAAGGGGTGTGTGCATTTGTGTGTGTGCCGAGTTGCTTGCCTGATCTTCGGCACTCCTTCAAGTTGACTCGGATGTGAACTGTGACTTCTCGATTTGGTTGCTATAGTCATGGCTAGTGCTTTGGGGCCTGGCTAGAAGAGGAAGGGGAAGCCATGACTTAGTTCTAACTTTTGATACTTCTAGGCGAGATTCTCTGGATAAATCTGGACTCTTCCCAGAATGGAAGAAGATGTCTGCTCCCAAATCTCAAGTTGAAAAGGTAAACTACAGGCTATTGGTGTTACTTCTCTTCCCCTTCCTCTCTCCCACTTTTCTTTTCCCTCCCTCCCTCCCTCCCTCCCTCCCTTCCTCCCTCCCTCCCTCCCCCTCCCCCCTCCACTCCCGTCTTCTTATCTCAAGTCAGAATTTACACCAGGAATTCAATTGAGATTTTTACCTCAGATTCATTTGGAAACATTTCAAAGATCTTGGCTAAAACGTGTGTGAACATAGGTTTTCTATTAATCTTTCCTTGAAGTTTGTCATAGTTGGGTTAAAATCTGAACCAGAAGCTGTTTGTGAGCATCCTTTACTTGCTCCTTTGGTCTACCTCCTGGTCTTTTCCCATGTCCTTGCCCTTGTTCCCTTTTAGGAAGTTCAGCCAGGGAGCCAAAATGCAGTCTGTGTTGACGAGGGTGACATGATATTCAAGAAGAACACCAGAAAAATCCTGCGGCCTTCAGGTAGCCTTTCCTTCGTGGCTACCTGGGGCTCATGTTCTGAGTGCTTTTGCTGGGCTCTTGGGATGGAGCAGAGCAGGTTTCTTTTGACTTACATTTTTGGTCTTTCATGCAGAATATACTAAGTCTGTAATAGACCTGCGCCCAGAAGATGTGGCACAAGAAAGTGGCATCTTGGGAGACAGGAGCAAATCTGTACCGGGCCTCAGTGTGGATATGGTAAGTACTCTTACGTTTCCCTTGGTCACTATATGAAAATTTTAAATTTAGAGTTGGCTTCAGTACCCAGTTCTCTCATCCAAATTGTTTACCTCTTTAGAGAAGGTGAGATGGCCCTTATTTTCTCCAGTTTCTGAAGGAGTACCACTTCTTGATTTGCTTAAAGAACTCTTTGTTGTCTCTGACTCTGTGTCACGTGGTGGGGTATGTGGTTGGCTACTCGAACAAATACGTAAAGAGAAGACCAGTGAGATGACTCACAGGACAACAGCACTCGCTGTGAAAGCCTGACATCTCAAGTTTGATCTCTGGAGCCCACATTAAGGTGGAAGGAGAAAACTGACTTTCTAAAGTTGTCTTTAGACCTCCACATGCAAGCCATGGCACATGCATGGCTGAATACACACACAGAATAATAATTAAATATACACCCTACTACTACTACTACTACTACTACTACTAATAATAATAATAATAATAAAATTAAAAGTATACAAGGAGATAGTAAGATGGGGAAATTCAAACAGGAGACATAAACTCCTATTAAAATATTAACTACTTACATTCTTTTGAGATATGAAGAGATATTAAAAACAAGGATATATGCATATATATTCACATGACACCTAAGAGCTTTTGCGACCATTTCTGGTGCTTACTGGTTTTTGAGCCCCACTTTTTTTTTTTTTTTTTTGGTTTTTCGAGACAGGGTTTCCCTGAGCCCCACTTTTATTAAGTCTCAAGTCTCTGTTGTTCCAGGAAGAAGAGGAGGAGGAAGAAGAGGACATTGACCATCTGGTGAAGTTGCATCGCCAGAAACTAGCCAGAGGCAGCATGCAAAGTGGCTCCTCCATGGTATGTTCTGGGTGTTTGTGCTTATAGACACACTGGGACCCCAGGAAACAAAGAGGAGCCAGCTTCCCTAGAGCAGACTCAGGCCCTGGGCAAATAACCCTAGTCAGTCTTCCTAGGTAAGGGGCATGCGTGCGTTTGTTCCTGTCCTCACTTTAGAGCTTAGGTACTCAGTGTAACTTCTAGGTGACTGCCTGAACCTCTGATTTGGAGGTTCTCCAAGAGGGAACGAAGGCTCTGGCCCTTATTTCATCACAGCTTCATGAAAAGTAACTGTAACTCCTCTGAAAGGAGAACCAGGCCACGAAATAAACAAGACCAGACTTCTTCATCTTAAACTGCTCCCTATTCTCACACTAAAGGCAAGCAGGTATCACGAGAAAGACCTTTGCCAGATTGGCATCAAGGTGTGGGTAGGGCTCAATATAGAACAGCCTCATGGACATTTTTGGGACATTTGCTAATCAGAGCCTCTATCTATCATAAGTACAAAGATTGCTATTTGGGCAAACAGATTTTCACATTCACTCTGGAAGAAAATGTAGAGCTCACTTCATAAACCTGACTGCTACCAGAGAGGAGGGTGCCTTTATATTTCTAGTGGTGGCTCTTCTGCTGCTCTCAGTTCTGGCCCAATCTCTTTCTTCTGTAGATATTGCTAGAGAGAAGGTAGATAATTAAGGCCCCGTTTTAAACTGGTAACTAACACCTTCTTGCCAATGTTGCAGCACACATAACACACACCACAGACAGGCTATAGATAGCTTAGCTATCTATACCTTACCTCCTTACGAAAATCATCACTCGATTGTGTAAAAGGAGGGGGAAAGAGTCTGTGTGAGCCAGGAGGTGAATTACTAGCCCAGACAATTTTGGATGTGCAATTGGCACTGACTTACCCTCTGGGTAAAGGACTGTTGGCAGTACTGGCTCCTTGCAGGCCCTTCTGAGACTTTTGACTTTATCATGAGGGAAGGTGGGAACAATTGGGGATGTGTAGTGTGTCTTCTTTACACATTTTTATTGCTTTATCCTCAGAGTACCATTGGCAGCATGATGAGTATCTATAGTGAAGCTGGTGATTTTGGGAATGTCTCTGTGACTGGCAAGATTGTCTTTTCTCTAAAGTTTGAGCAGAAAACACAGACTCTGGTCATCCATGTAAAGGAGTGCCACCAGCTGGCCTATGCTGATGAAGCAAAGAAGCGTTCTAACCCGTGAGTGCTTTTGGGTCCTGAATAATAGTTTAACAGGAAAAAGTAGACTTTGGAATCTGTCTGGGTACTCTTGAACCCAAATTATCACATCTCTGGGGGTAGAATAGTGAGATGTGATATAATAAAGGGCTTAGGACTTGGAAGAAGCAAGAATGAAGTTTTTGGCCAAGCAGAGAAGTAAAGAAGGGACTTGAGAAAGGTTAGCAAATAATTTAGTGTTGTCTTTGGTTTCTAGATATGTGAAGACTTATCTTCTGCCGGATAAGTCCCGCCAAGGAAAAAGAAAAACCAGCATCAAGCGGGACACCATCAATCCACTCTATGATGAGACCTTTAGGGTATGTTTCTGAACCTAGAGGGGAGAAGGTTTTGTTTTGTTTTTTGTGCCTTTGTGGTGTAGCTGTGCCTCTACAACATGGGTGGATGGCCATGTCTGTGCCTGGGGAGTCACTATGGGTATCTGTTCATATCCTGACCTCTCGGGGAAGAGAACACAGGTGAATTTGGCTTCCTTGGATTGTTGTGAAGTTGGAAATTCACATGACCTATATAGCTCATTTCAAAAATTCATTTGAGGACCTGGAGAGATGATTCAGCAGTTAACAGCTCTTGCTGCTCTTGCAGAGAATCTGAGTTCAATTCCCAGCACCCACATGGTGGCTCACAACTGCCTATAACTCCAGTTTCCAGGTGATCTAATGTCATATTCTGGCCTTGGTGGACATCTACATGCATGCATTGTACATAAATATACTCAGGCACATAGTCACATAAAAATAAATATAATCTTTTAAAAGAGAAGTCATTAACTGACCCGAGCTTGTGGGAGCTCACAAACGAACTCTAGACCAACAGCTGGGGAACCTGCATGGGACCGACCTAAGCTCTCTGCATGTGGGTGATAGTTATGTATCTTGGTTTGTTTGAGGGGCCTCTGGCATTGGGACCAGGATCTGTCCCTGGAGCATGAGCTAGCTTTTTGGAACCTATTCCCTATGTAGGGATACCTCACTCAGCCTTGGTGCAGGGGGGATGAACTTGGTCCTGCCTCGACTTGGTGTGCCATGCTTTGTTGACTCCCATGGGAGACCTTACCCTTTCTGAGGAGTGGATGGGGGTGAGGTAGGGAGGAAGCTGGGGAGAGGGAAAGGGAGGAGAGGAGGGAGGGGGAAACTGCAGTTGGGATGTAAAATAAATGAAAAAAATTAATAATAAAATAAAATAAAATAAAATAAAATAAAATAAAAAAGAAGTCATTTGAGGGCCAGCAAGATGACTTATGAGGTAGAGTCTGGCAGCCCGAGTTTGGTTCTTCAGATCCCCATGGTAGAAAGAGACAGCTGACCCCTGCAAGCTGCCCTCTGATCTCTATACTCATGCCATGGCATGCTGGTGCCCACACATACACACATGACATTCACACACCCACACACGCATGCACACACGCGCGCGCACACACACACACACACACACACACACATAAATAAATGTAATAAAAATACAGAAGTAATTGGAGAGAAAAGGTCCCCTTGGCAATTGTTTGTGGCTAGTCTCATAGCCTCTCAGCCACTCAAGGACAAACTTAATTTTCCCTGGCTTCCTATGGACTGTGTTAGGGTTAGTGAAGGAGGAGAAGTTGCGTGGAGCAGTTCAAAGTGTTGAGGACCTGAAACCATTTGGCAGGCAGATCATGGGGACAGGCTGCTTAGGGTTTTGGAAGAATTCCCTTTGGAGGAGCTGCTTCTAACTGGCCACCTTGGGCTGCTTCTTTCCCATCACAGTATGAGATTTCAGAATCTCTTTTGGCACAGAGGACTTTGCAGTTCTCCGTTTGGCATCATGGTCGCTTTGGCAGAAACACTTTCCTTGGAGAGGCGGAGGTCCACATGGACTCTTGGAAGCTGGATAAGAAGCTGGATCATTGCCTCCCTTTACATGGAAAGGTAGTCTGCCTTGAAGGTCTTTCCCAGCATGGTTCCCAGGTGCTTTGTCTGCAGTGGCCTCTGCTGGGCTGTGTGGGAAGTAGCATTGCATGTAATTTTCTGTAGAGTTCTATCACACCCTGCTGGCCTTTCTGAGTTTGGCAGCAATTTCGGAGGCTCTTGCAAGTCAAGTAGGAGCAATTTCAGGCAAAGCAGGAAGTTACTGCGTGCCAAGCTTTTCCTGCTAACCTTCCAGAGCCTGAATGTATACTGACATCCTAATTTGCACCTCCTCTTATATCTAACCTTTGGAGTGTATCCTAATCCGCACCCCTTTCCAAGCTAAACATCCTGCTTTAGAAGTGAGAGGCAAGATGGTTTGTAGATCTGCAACGGCTGTCCTCTTGGTTATGTGTGCAGGCCAGGGGAATTTTACTTTAGAGGGGGCACCTCAAATGTTAGTGTAGTAAGGTGGCATCATAGTGGTTGGTAGTTTAGTGCAGATCAGGGTTAGAATCTTGCTTCTGTGACTTACTGGAAACTCGGAGAATCCACCTACCTTCTGTGAGCCTCAGTTTAGTGTTCTACAAAATGGCATAGCAGTGCTACTCCCTCCCTGCTGGTGTACTGAATGCAGGGCATCCTTTAGTATGTGGCAATAATGGCCGTTCCATAGCCTACTGCCATTCTGGTTATGATGAAATCACTACATCACAGAACTTTAGGCAGCAACTTCCTATTTATCACAATGAATGAAAGACAAACATCTTTAAAAGTTATAATGGTGTTTTGAATGTTTCAAACAATACAGAGCACGGAGAATATCTGTGGAAAGATGGTCTAGAAACTTAGAACTGGGCTGCCTCTAGGAAGTGAGCCTGATGTGGAAGAGGGATTTACTTTTATCTCTTCCATTTTATTATTGTCTTTTAGTTTTATTTGTTTTGTATTTTTACTCTGTTAAGAATATTAAATGTAAAATAATCATATATGCAGAGTTCCAAATTAACAACAAAACATATGTAAAAAGAAAGTAAATTTCATTACTTAAAAATAGCCAGTCTTAAGTATTTAAGTATCCTTCTAGAATTTTTGTATCAAGCAGCATAGATATCATATCATATCATATCTATCTATCTATCATCTATCTATTCATTTATACATATGCAGACATGCCGTATTCTTTTTTGACCCAAGTGAATTGTCTTGTTGTTCATATATATGTAGGTATATATAGATATAGGTATATATTCTTGATTTTAAGAATTTATCATAGGCATTCCTCTATGCCATTACTTACAGATCTATCTTATTTTACTTGATGCGTGCTATTCTCCCACATTTCTGTATTAAAAATAGATTTGCCAATCTCCTACCAGTGAGTACTTAAATTGTTTATTTTTTAAAACTATGCTGTCATACATCTTTTTTTCAGTGTTGGTGGTCCAACCAAGAGCTTCACAAATGCTAAACAAGTGCCATACTGTTGAGCCACACCCCATCCCCTATCTTTGCCTTCTTTGGGAAATGTAATTGTCAGAGGAAGCCCGGGTGAGGAAATAGCAGAGTCAGAGAAGTGGACAGCTAGTAATATGAGGGCTGGTGCCTTCCAGAAAATTGAGTCATAGAAACAGGAATTGCTATCAAAGTAAAACCTGGTATTAGAACCTTGGAATTTCCTGAGCATTTGATATGCAAATCATTCTCCCAGTAGCTTGGGGTTTGTATAATTATATTGAAAATATCACTATAAACCTCCATGAATTGCCATGAAAAAAAAGTCATACATCAAAATGGAGGTATTTGCTCTTTGGAAGTATTTTTAGCAAAATGAAAATGAGCTGTGGAAGCAAACCTGCCAGCTTCTACTCAATACTAAACCCTGGATTTTACAAGTTCACTAAAGTCAACAACCTAGGAATTAATAAAGTGTGTAGAAAGTTCATGAAATAAAATACCATTTTGTCTCCTTCTTTAAAAATTTTTGATAACATGAAAATTTCTCCTTATATCTTATATTTAAAACTCTATCAAATCATTCTACTATAGTGTTATTTAATATGTAAGCTGTATTGGTATACATAAAGCAAGGCTTTTAAAACCAATTTTTTTAATTAAAAATGTCTAAAATTAAAAAGATGATTTTTTAAAATCATATATTTGTTTTTAATTTAAGACAAATTCTATTTAGTGTTTCTGTTTTTTGACTCCCCACCAATCCATGTGCTATCATTTTGTTTCTCTTGCTAACAGTCCCCTCCCACTTCTTGTCTATCTTCCCCACAGACTAAGCTAGTGTATTCTGGATCTGCAGTAAGTCTCTTGAAACATAGGAGAGTATACCTACCAGTATGAGCATGCTCAGTGGTGAGAACCTAGCTTGGCCCAGCCTCAAGAAACATGGGCAGATGAAAGGGTGTCTCTAGACTGTGCAAGTTTGTGCTGGAAAAACTGGAGCATCAAGAATGTGATACCATGTGAGCCAAGAGAGTGAAGCAATCTTGCCTCCCAGAGCTACTTGCTCTGTGTCCTTGACATTTGTTCATTCATTGTTATACTCGTTCAGTCAACATGGATGCCTATGTAAACCAGGTACTATGCTAAGTGTTGGCCTTTCTAAGACAAACAAAAACAAGGTTGACTCCTGTCCTCTGGCACACGGATTCTAGTAATGGTTGTTAACTAAAAATATGTAAGTCCGGGGCTGAGGATTCATCTCAGTGGTAGAGTATATGCTTAGCAGGTGTGAGGCCCTGGGCTTGATACCCAGCACTGAAGCAAACAAGCAAACTGTGAGATATTAAAATCTAACCCTGAAATTTCTACACCCCCTGCCACCTTTTAAATTACTTTTGATTTTTAAAAAGCAGATGTGTCTCTTTTTCACAAGCAGGACACTATTGGTGATGATAGAGGAAGGAGGGAGCGTGTGTTCTCTCTGCTGTTAGGTTGTTCTTTGGTTTTGGATTGTTTGATCCAGTCCAGTGGTAAAAAGCCTGGGCTCTGGAACCAGTGTGTCTGAATCTGAATCCAGATCTGCTAATTATTAGATGTGTGTCTGTGGGAAAACGACTTAACCTCTCTGTTTCTTTATTCAATAACCCATGAAATAAGGGTAGTACCTATTTCATAGATATTACTCTAAGTATTAAACAAATGATATATTTATATTACTAATGGCACTATCTGGCACATAGAGCTATATTAGAGACAATAATAAAAACATTACACAGTATAGTTCACATGTATGGTTTTAATACATTTTATCTTTATACTTAATATAAGTGAGGTTTTTTTCTACATCTTAACAGTAAGTATATCTTTTATATTTTCCCTTTTCAGAAAGTATAAATTCAGTATGGTCTTATTTTAGGATATAAATGAAACCATAGATTTAGGTTTATTTTACCCAATAGTTAAAAGGTGGATTTTTTTTCTAGACATATAACTGAATATGTGTTATAGTCAACTAGGATTTGAATTAAAAAAACAGCAACACTTCTAGGAGCAATTGACACATAGCCAGGAGAGGTAGCGTGGCTGGAATCATCTGGGTTCCATTTTAACTGGCTGGGCTGTAAGAGGAAGGCCATGTTCAAGCTATGACTGAGGAGAGGAAAGTCAAGTGCTTTCTTTTCTATAGTGACCTTTCTTTACTTGCACTTGGGCTATCAGAGCTAGCCTGTGTTCTTTCTAATAATCTTATGTCACATGTCACATGAAGGCATTAAAATCACTCTTAACCCTGCTTATGTTTGCTGATACTTGGATTGCTTCCACTTTGGGGCCCTTACTAACAGTGCTGGTAGCAAGATTCTTAATTATATGTCATTCATTCCTTTGTGAGTTTGTGTGGCCACCTTGTTGGCATACCTTTGGGAGCATTTGGAATCTAGTGGTCATATCCCCAGAGTGCATAATAGTGAGTCTTGGTTCTTCTGGATTTCCTCTGGAAGAGGCTGCCAAAGAAAACCGTAGCTGCGGTGGGATGTAGCCATTAAAGAGGGACCTGTTCTTGGGGTAATTTTATTTGTATTTTCTTATTTATTTTTGAGATGGGGTCTGGCTACCTATGTATTCTAGGCTGGCATCAAACTTGCGATCCTTTTACTTCAGCCTCTCCGGGGCTGGGATTACAGAGGTGTATCCCTACACACCTATGGGAACAACTTTATAATCCTCTTAGGGAAAGGGCCCAGTGTTTCCTGAGAGGCTTGATTTCACTTGTTGGGTTTCCCTATGTTTCAGATCAGTGCTGAGTCCTCACCTGGCTTGCCAGCACACAAAGGCGAGTTGGTGGTTTCATTGAAATACATCCCAGCCTCCAAACTCCCTGTTGGAGGTGACCGGAAAAAGAGTGAGTTTTTTGGGGGGCGGGGGTCCCTGGATTCAGCTCTTAGCTTCTATAAGGGTCTGTGAGAGATTGGTGCTAGTTTTGTTGGCTAGGGCAGACTGGGATATTTCCTGGATCTTCTAGGCAGGAGTCCCTTCCTAAGGAAGCCTTTACCTTTCTCAACTGGAAGGAAATGCTATAGTGCTAACATTCCTTTTAGATGATCTTTAGGCTGTTAGTGTGATTTGGTCTTGTTCCATTTCTGTCAAGCTACTGAGAAGGCAAAAGAAAGAGAACAGGAGCTTTGTGGCCACAAAAGGTGCTTAGAAGGAGTGGTAAAGTATGGGAAGTGCAAAGCTGAGTCACTAACATGTCCAGCATTGTTCTGGTGACTGTGGATACATAGACAAGAGAGAGATGGTATGTATCCTCTGAGGACAAGTTTTTCTTGAATTCAGAAAGGTAATCATGTGTCCGGAGCACCCACCTGTGAGGGTGATAGAGCGAGCTTTGTTGAGGAAGCAGTATTGAAACTGGACCTTGAGATTGTCCCAGGCACAAAAGGGGGGAAGATGAAAGAGAGGAGGGGTGCTGGAAGAAGGAACGAGACCAGCTGAGATGATGCATGCCTGTAGGCCCAGCACTTGGGAGGTTACGGCAGGAGGATTGCCATGAAATTTCAGGCTGGATAGGCCATACACTGAATAACAGGCCAGACCTGGCATAGAGTGAGACTTCATTTCAAAGAAATTGACAGTCTAAAGCAAAAGGAAAAACAAAGTAACATATAAGAATGTAGGCAGGGGATGCAGTTAACTTCATAGAGTGTTTGCATAAGGGCCTCTGTGTATGCAGGGAGCATTGCATAAACGGATGCTGGGGAGGTGGAGGCAGGAGGATCAGGAATTGAAGGTCATCATCAGGCCAACTACATAGTGAGTTTGAGACCAGACTGGGCTATGTGAGACCCTATCTCAAAAAAAAAGCCCATTCTTATATATGCCTGGTAGATGTAGAGTTTTAGGTCAGCGATCAGGAGTGTGTTCCCAGTTACAGTGGAGCTGGAGTTATGGTGTGAATGTGTATGTATATGAGTACAGCTGGAATTGGAGATGAGTCTGAAGCCAACTGAAAAAGAAAAAGACCTTCAGTGAAGAGTTTAACTTGATCTGTTGGCAATGGCCAACCAAAGTTCTTTTTATTTTCTAATATGCCTTCAGCAAAGTGTAATGTAGAAGATTTGAGGAATCAATAGGTCCCAAGGAGGGTGTGCAGAATGACTAGAAAAGAAGCAAAGACCAAACCTTTGGGAACAGCAACATTTTAATGGATGAAGAGATGGAAAATGTCAGCGAGGGGGAGGGTTATCAGGACCTCGAAAGGCCAGGAGAGAGTTTAAACAAGAGGTGGGCAGGAGCTGTCAGCCTCTCTCAACACTACAGGCAGTCAGGCCAGATGAGGCCCGAGAAGACACTGCTTGTTTGAATTAGGCCGGAAGACATTAATGAAATCTGATTTTACAAGAAACTAGGCTGAGTTAATGAGGTGGAGAAGCAGAGGTGATGAGCGTGGTCGTTCTTGACCAGGGTGATTTGTCGTGGTGAAAGGAAAGAAGGGCACAGAGAACAGCTTCAAAAGGAGCCGATTGAAGGAAGGGAGGTTTTCTTTGAAAATGGATATTAAAAGAAAAGAAAAGAAAAGAAAAGAAAAGAAAAGAAAAGAAAAGAAAAGAAAGAAACGGTAAGATTAGCCTGTATTCAGACTGAGGGCAAGGCATCAGTCCAGATGAAGGGATCTTCAAAATGGTAGGTGAGAGGTGGAAATTCGTGGTGCTCTGGTGAGGCCTGTGTAGTAAGGGCTGAGGTCAAGAACTCGGCGGAGGAGTTCCTTCCTGCTTTAATTGCTTAGCAAATGCCAGGCAACTTTGCTTCTTGTAGCTTCAGTTGACTTATGTATAAAATGAGGGCAATTGTAGTGTGTATCTAATAGAATTGTTTGGAGGAATTAAATGCTTAAGGTGGTATTTGGTTCATAGCAACTTTTCAGTAAGCATTTGTTGCTGTTGGGGTTGTTACTTGAGTTCCTACTGCTTATACTGGGCACTGTGCTAGGAACAGAGGACACAGGCATGATTCAGTTAAGGAGTTTGCTGTATTCCAAAGCAAGGAGAGAAAGTGCTATATAGCTAAAGTCCAGGACGCAGCTGGCAGTGTGGAGGTTCACTTGAAATGGCTGACATCCCTTACAGGTAAAGGTGGGGAAGGGGGAGAACTCCAGGTGTGGATCAAAGAAGCCAAGAACCTGACGGCTGCCAAATCAGGAGGGACTTCAGACAGCTTTGTCAAGGGGTGAGTCCCTGGATCAGCATCAAACTATCCAGTTATAGGACAGGCAAGTTAGCGGGGAACCCAAGTGAATTTTCCTCTGTAGATCCTGCCCTCATACTACAACCCTCAGCAGCTTTGTTTCTGAAATTAGGTAACAACGGAGAAACCTCCACCCCACCCACCTTTGCACTGGTCGAAGATCAGTTTGGTCTCAACTGTGGTGCTAGCTTTCGAAGGGGAGGGTGCTAGACAGATAGGTTCTGACTTTCTCAGACTAGTCCTCCTCCTGAATCCTAGATTGACAGTCTATGCCCCCTGACTGCCTGGATTCGGGATTCAAGGCTCTGTTGTCCATAATTTTTAAGCAGTGTAAGCTTTGTCTATATTGAGGGTCATTTACTGACTTAAGCTCCCCATGAAGTCATGTTTGACTAAGCTTATACACATTAGTAATGGCTTCATTTACCTTGTGTGAGAAAAGTAGAACCACATATTTAAACTCATCCTTGGTGGAGCATAGGCTAGAGCATGACTAGCATATTCATTTTTCTCTCCAGGTTAAAGGAAGTAGATAATCTAGTGGAAGGATGGGAAATGTGCCTCAACATATTCAAAGGAGGGCTGTGTGCACTCGGACCTGGGTGTTGGCTTACCATGATGGGCTGGGCCTGTCGTAGGGGAAAGGGGAATGTAAATGTATGGCCAGCTTGAGTAGGTGTTGATAACTCCCCACCCCCTGCCAGATACCTCCTTCCCATGAGGAACAAGGCCAGTAAGCGTAAAACTCCTGTGATGAAGAAGACCCTGAATCCCCACTACAACCATACATTTGTCTACAATGGTGTGAGGCTGGAAGATCTACAACACATGTGCCTGGAACTGACTCTATGGGACCGGGAGCCCCTGGCCAGCAATGACTTCCTGGGAGGGGTCAGGCTGGGTGTTGGCACTGGTGAGACTCTCTCCCCCATCCAATCATCACTTGTCTTAGAGGCCTCTTGTCTATCTTCCTCTTCCTTCCTCTTCCTACCTCTCGCGCTCCAGGATATACAAAGATCTTTTCTGACAGAAAATTTCTTCCTTTATATAAACATCCAACAAGTACCTCCTGAGTGCCTGCTACCTGCTAGGCCTAAGGGAGGGCTGAACTCCTACAGTTTCTATGTATAGAAAGGTGACCCTGAAAGCCAGGGACTTCATCATCTTCCCACAAAAGAAGATATAGAAACTACCTAAGTACCTGACTTGTGATTCCTACCTTCTGTCTTGATATAGTGAGAAGGGTCCTTTGCCAGGAAATCCTTGCTCTCCAAGGATTCTAGACTTACCCCTCACTTCTCAGTGGCTCTTTGTCTATAATCTCTGTTTCTCCTGTATGATCAATTTCATTTGATTGACTATTGAAGGGGAATACACATGTGCTCTGATGATGCCAATCTCTTTATTTCTTTCTTTGTTAATTGAGACAGGGTCTCATGTAGCCCAGATTGGCCTCAAACTCCTAATACTCTTTATTTCTACCTCTCAAGTGCTCAGATAATAAACATGCACCAACATGCTCAGGCCTATTTTTATTAAATAAGAAGTAAATCTTCTATTGACCACATGCACACCCCCCATTCTAAAAGGAATGATCTCTATTTCCTGGACTTTCCTTCAATTCTCAGCCCATTGTGATATGGCTTCTATTCTTCTACTCTTCTGAGTCATTATTCATGAAAAAGTGAGGTTATTATCTCTCTAGAATTCCCAAGCACTATTTAATAGAGCAGTTTACTCTCTTTTTCTTGAGATTCTTACCACTTATTGCCTTCTTGACTCTCTTTGACTCCATTGCACATGATTTCTCAATTTCTTTCATGGATTCTTCATTCTCTACTTCTGTATTTAAACTTTAAATGATGCTGCTCTCTGGGCTTGGGCTTGGGTGCTCTTTTTTTCTCTTTTTATAGTCTTGATCAGGCCTATCCAACCTTTTGACATTGTGACATCGTGACATTTTCAAGTATAGTATTCACACTCAAGAACTGTGCATTCCAGTTATCAAGAAATCACAGAAAGTAAAAAAAAAAACTTCATTGTTTTAATTAGTTATGATTTTGTGTTGTGCCACATTCATAGCTATCCCATGCAGCTCTGGTTGGACATGTCTGCTGGATTCTTATGGCCTCAATTACTAGATGTATATGAATAACTAACAGAAAGCATCTATAATGGTATTTTTGCACACGTAAGTAAGCTGCTTTGTGTAGGTCCCCTGTGTAAAACCCTTTGGTGACTTTCTCCCACCTTAGAAATTCTTATCAAGTCCACAGACCCCATATAATCTGGACTCTTCCTCCCTGTATCATTTTCTTGCTAACTCTTTGTATTCCAATCACCATAGCTTTTACTCTGCTCTCCAAAAATACCACGTTACTTCCTACTTTGGGACTTCATAATGATTGGCTTTCCTATTCACATGTAAGCTGTCTAAGGGCAGAGACACTTTTGGTGTCTTCATCACTGTATCCCCAAACTGGCATAGAGTAGGCACTCAGGAAATGTTCACTGAATGAATGAATTAGTATACAAAAAAATAGGAGTAAGATCACATAATCCTAACTTTAGGCATAGAATTTACAGCTATAGAAAAAGGTATTCATAGCTTGGGCATGGTTATGCATGCCTGTGATCTCAGCACTTGGCAGGCAGAGGCAGGAAGATTGCCACAAGTTCAAGGCCAGCTAGGGTTTCAGTGTGAAGTCCTGTCTCTGATAACAAAAAAAGAGAGAGAAAGTCTTCAACTTTTAAAAATGTCAAGGCCCCATGTGTACTCTAGTTATTAACGAGCCCACTGCCTTTTTACTGTGTATGCAATAAACTATTCTTTAAAAAATTAAGTCAAGCCGGGCGGTGGTGGCGCACGCCTTTAATCCCAGCACTCGGGAGGCAGAGCCAGGAGGATCTCTGTGAGTTTGAGGCCAGCCTGGTCTACAGTGCGAGATCCAGGAAAGGCGCAAAGCTACACAGAGAAACCCTGTCTCGAAAAAAACCAAAAAAAAAAAAAATTAAGTCAAATTGCTAATGACAGAAGGTTAGCAGTTCTGGTATGGGGTGTCAGACACCAGAGCTCTGAAAAAGCCACTAAAAAGCAAGCCCCCATTGACATTATGCCATTTCAAGTCCCATTTCATCACCCTGCAGTCACCTGATTGTCTCTGGGGCACAAGTAGTTGTCAGCTCAGCTTGCCAGCTTGCTGTCCCCGGCATTCTGTCTTCACTGTACATTATCATTTCTGGGTTGGCCCTCTCCACTATAGAGCCCGTCCTCCTGATGGGCTGGGGGTGGGACTCTGTTCAGCCTCCTCTGATGTTTCTCCCCAGGGGTCAGTAATGGCGAAGTGGTGGACTGGATGGATTCGACTGGTGAAGAAGTGAGCCTGTGGCAGAAGATGCAGCAGTACCCAGGGTCTTGGGCAGAAGGGACTCTGCAGCTACGTTCTTCAATGGTCAAACAGAAGCTGGGTGTATGAGTCCCTATCTTTATCTGCAGGTGCAGCCCTGGTCAGTCCAAGTCAAAAGAAGCTAAGCAACCACAAGGAGAGATTGCTAATTTAATGTGTGTGCATGTATTTGTATAAACATATATTTCTGTAGGTCTTATGTTGCTAGCAAGTGTGACATAGATGTGTTCCTTTAAAGCAGCCCAAGAATAAGGGTCTTTTCAAATGGTTTTTATTTATGTATAGTTTAGTATATTTTCAGAGTACATAGTTGCCTCTATCTTTCTGTGGTTTAATTAACTTTAAAAGCCTTTTACAGCAACTCTCTCCCTTCTGTCTTGCTGTCCTCGCTCCCACTTCCCCTGGAAGTATGGCTGCTTTTGGCAGTAGTTCTAGTTTGTGGATCTAGGTATGCCTGATCAAGGCTCTGGAGAGCAAGGTTTGTTGTTAAAGACAGTACACTATGGGGAGGGGTTTATGACCAGTCACTCCCCTTCAGTTCATATTTTATTTCATCATCCACCTTGATGTATTTTTAGAATTTGCCTTTTAACTTTTCTTGTTTTTAAGCAATTTCCACCTTGCATGAGTATAGTGGGTTTCTTTGAAATGCAATGAAAATTCCCCATCTCCTTCCTAGACCTTTGGGGAGCGCTTATAATGGAGTCACTTTAGAAAAATCACTTTAATTAGATAATGGCCTTTTCACTGAGACATTAAGATGCCCTGTGAGACCTACTAGCTGATCCCAGAAGGTTTAAGTGACTCTGAATAAAGTTTTTCAAGGCCCATGCTGAGTTCTCTCTTTTAAACTGTTATAGCAGTTGTTGAAGAGGGATTTCCTTATTTCCCTAATGGAAGATGAGACATCTTCACTCTCATGTACTATAGCTTTCTCTAAGTCTGTGTCTGGGGTGTACTGCTACATAGAACTTAGTCTATATACCTCTGTTTCAGCCAGAAGAGCCAAAGACTGTCTAAACCAATACAGTGCTCCCCAGGATGGGGACTATTGCCACCCCATGGAAATGTGGATGGAATCGCCCATCTATTCTGACTTTTGACCTAATATATTTTCAGTTCCCAATTTTGGTTGTTTCCTAAATGTGACCTATATGTAACAGGGTGGTGTGTTGAGACTTAAAAGAGATATCTAATGAGCTTTCATTTCCTGCTATTCATTCTTCTAAACTGGACTTTTCATTCAAAGCAGCCTATCTATACAGAGGTGTGTGTGGAAGGTGTTGGTGCCAGAGAAGAAATCCTGTCGATGGAGCCAGCTGCGAATTGATGTTCCTATAAAGTCCCTGGATTGCAGACAGCTGGGGTGGTTAAGATTGTATGTGTGAATTGCATAGAATGTTTGTCAAAGATCCCTTCAATATGGATTGATGCTGGGATGGAACTATAACTCAAGAGTCTGGGCTCACACTTGTTCTTTGCTATTCCACATCAACATGCATGCGTGTTTCAATAAAGCTTTCTCACTTGAGTGTTTACACTTGGAGTTCTGCAGATCCTTTCATCTCTGATGTCCTGACTTATTATTACCACTTGGACTCATAGCTTGAAGGTCGGAACCAGAGTAACAAATGCGCCTTGCTATGCTGGAAGAAAACCTGCCTTTTCCTACACTGCCGTCAGATACCTTTGCTGAGCCTACATCCCTTGTCCTATATGTTTGGAATCTAAAAGTAGCGCTACTTTTCTCCCCCTCTGGTACCAATAGAAGTTGGCCTTTGGCTTTGTAGGCTGTCCCTCTCTGGAAGAAGAGGAGAGATGTTCATCCAGGCATGAGGGAACACCTTCCATGCTACCAGCACTTCTTTCTAGATTATGCAGTTTCTCTGGGAGATCAGGATTTTTTTCTCATCTACTCCATTATTTAGATTCAAGGGCTAAATCACAGATGCTATACAACTCACCTTTGAAATAAGGCTCTGATTTTCTAGTTAAAGCTCAAGCGATTCTTGGCCTTTGTGCAAAAGCATATTTGCAAAAGTGAAATGCATCTCATATACAAGGCTTTGCATGATATTGTCTGATTCTCTCCAGCACACTTTAAAGTAGGAAACCTGCCCTTCCTGCAGATCAAACACAAGCTCGTTGTTATGTGACAAAATTGGAATTTGAATCCAGGCCTGACTACCATGTTGCCTTCTGTAAGAATGGTGTATATTAAGGGACAAGTATGAAACAAAGTGGTGGTTCATCTCTCCTAAAATACCTTAGAGCAATAGGATTAATTTGCAAAGGAGGACAGTAAGAATGCTTTGGATATTGCCAAGCCAGCCTAGTGACAACACTGTGTGTATATGAGAGAGAGTGGGAGGGAGGAGGAAGGAGGGGAGAAGAGTTGTAAAAAGGGAGAGAGACACAGAGAAGAGAATAGGAGGAGAGGGAAAGGGAGCTGCATAGGAAGGAATGAAATGCCTCTTGTCATGCCAGTCCCTTTCTGACTGGCATGATTGTCTTCCTGTCTTCCCCCTACTTGGATTTCTTAAGTCATAATCTATAAAGGACCATGAAGGAGGTTGCAGTAAAAATTTCCCTAAAGAAGGCAAGATTGACTTGACTACTCCAAAGGAAACAAAACAGAAGCCCCTAAAGTTGTTCCAAGCCTCAGTTGCTTGGAGCATTTCCATGCAAGGGTCAGGCCCAGCTGGGAACTTGATGCAGGAGGTAGTGGGGCCCTGTGTTATCTTCTGGGCCATTGACCTGCTAGCGGTCCTGGCTTGCCACTTGAAGTGCTACTGTAAAGACAAGGTGTGCATTTATCCTCGCCAACGTTCTGTCTTTGCCTTTGGAATCACAGACATTGCTCTGACCAGAAATTTCCAACATGAACTCATTGGATTTCACCTTCTGCCTATGATTTGCCTTTGGCCTTTCAAAGCTCCACTATTCTCTCAAGGGAAGATGGAGAAGGGCATTTCCCCCTCCCAGTCTGATCATTTTTCCATGTTCCTCTCCACCAAGTAATTGCCTGACTTCTTGTTTTCCCTTTTAAAACTGAGATTTCCGATAAAACTCTTGTTGAAATTGCTTCTCTCTGGTTCACTGCTATGCCTGTATGTTGTAGGCTTATGATTTACATCTTACCACTCTGCTTTAAAGAGGAATTTTCCTGGGCTGAGAGCCTTTCATTTTGCACCTTCCTCCTGGCCCACTGTGAATATTGTATCCAAGGAAGACGGAACACCTATTAGAGTGTTCAGTTATCTTTTAATGGGAAGTAGAAAAAAAGTAGAGGTCAGATGGCATAGTGGAGCCTGGCTGCTGGTGTCTGTGCCTAACTGCCGCTTACTAGCTCTGGGATCTTAGCATACTGCCTAGCCTCTCTGGGATTCAATTCCTTTATCGGTAAATGGGAGCTAATAACAACACCTACCTTCTATGGCTCTTGGCAGACTTCTGAGTCAATCAATAGTGTGTTTATAATGGCATCTGACACATAGTAGGTTCTTGAGCATTGTTATCTCTGCCTCCCCACCCAGCCTGCTTGCTGTCTCCAGTTGCCCAATGATGGTGCCCAGGAAAAAGCTGAAGGAACAGGGCATCCGAGTCTTGACTATGACTCTGGCTTCCCTCACTGTACAAGAGACAGTTCTCAGAAGCAAGGGAAGAACATTTTTTTCTCAAACACTGGTGAAACACCCCTTGTGAGACACAAGTCAGAGCAAAACCTGCAGCTCGAGATGCATCTCAGCAGTAGTGTTTGGCATGTGGAAGATCCTGGCTTTAATGCCCAGCAAAGAGGGGCAGGGAGTCAGGTGACTAAAGATGCAAGACAAAGGAAGAAAGAAAAAGAAAAAGCAGGGATCTGTGTGTGGCTCCATTTCCCAAAAGCCCAACCTCATGTTGATTTTCAGGCCTGGTTCCTAACCTTGACCTTTGGCTCCTTTAGCTACCTGCTCTGTGCTCATCTCTTAAAAGTGGGTATCTGAGAAAGTTAATACATGACACTATCCCCTTTGCTTTCCTGCTATGTTTGGTGGTGGTGGAGGTGGTGGTGGTGATGGTGGTGTGTGTGTGTGTACGTGTGCGTACACACATATGTGCCTGTGTATGGAGATAGTGGAGATCAGATGCCAGTCTTGGGTTGTGTTCCTCGGGCCCTTTACCATGTTTCTTGAGATAGTGTTTCTTACTTGGCCTGGTACTCACCACTAGACTGGGCTTCCTAACCAGGATCCCCACAGAGCTGTTTATCTCTACCTCTGCACTGGGATTCCAAGTGCACACACATCTAGCTATTTAACATGGCTTCTGGGGATCAAACTCAGGTCCAAATGCTTACATGGCAAGCATTTTACCAGCCGAGTCATCGCCCCAGTTCCTAGAGGTAATCTAGTTCACAGACTGGGGGATCCTTTAATGAAGGGCCACCATCAGGGGCACTAAAGACCTCAGTAGGCAGACGTTCTTGCCAACAAACTAATTGGAGCAGCAGCTAGGAGGGAGCATCCTGCTATGGCTGGGTGGTGCTTCCCAAGCGCTGGAGAAAAATGTTTTTCTAACTCTCGATGAAGCAATGGTTCAAGCAACATTTTTTAGTCCAGTGTCCTGGAAGGGGAAATGACAGTCAGCCTCAAGAATGTTTTGTAGAGCCCTGTCACCCCTCTGCTGCTCCTAAAACAATTAACTGTAAGGCAATCTGTTTATACGTGTTTACAGTGTCTGCTTGTCGCTCGTTGTGCTGCCCTCTGCTGTCACCATTGAGTAAAGGAACCATTTCCGCCACAGTAAAGGAATGAATTTAGGATTTACTTCTCTCAATGACTTTGGAGAGCTCGGCAGAGGCTCTAATCAGAGAAGACCATCTACCCGCAAACCACTGCCTGGCCTCAGTCCCTACCTACTCTCATATGCTTTTCCAGTGCTACTGAAAGTGGAGCCTTGCTGAGGGAAACACATATTCTGCCCTAAAATGATGTCTGGAACTGTCCTGGATTTGGCAAACCTCACCCCCACCGGAGTCCTGCTCCCAACACTGGGAAGACATTTCCTCCTCAGTTTAAGCTACCTAGGACAGTTGCGCACTTGACCTCAGCCACAGTCTGGCTCAGGGTCACTCGCACACATCCCTTTGCTCTCTTCGCTGTGCCAGCTCCTGGTTGCTCAGCAGGTAGTCATCGATGAAGGTGAAGATTTCCTCAGGGGTGACAGGTTCCATGTAGCGTTCCCGGTCAATACCCTGCTTGTCAATTAACACCATGTTGAAGTAGGAACGAGTGAGGCGCTGGAATTGCCTAGAGAGAGCAACCCAGAGAGGTGTGAGACCTTGGTCCAAGTCCCACAAGACTGTGCTACCCCCCTCTCCTCTTTTATAGCTCCAACCTTTCCTGTGCCCCTCTCCTACCTAGCGCAAATCCTTTTTGCTTATTTTCTGCTCAGTTCCTAGTCTTGGTAGCCTTAGATGTCTAGCTTTCCTTCCTCACCCTAGCCTGTTATTTCTGCAACATGTTTTCCACTTTAAGCAAAGCTGTTACCTACTGCATGCAGGCTGCGTGGAGCAACTCCAGGAGGCATGTATTGCAGACACTGTGACTTACTTGTATGCACATCATACCTAGCAGCCACGAGGTTGATAAGCAAATCCTGCTTAACTTTTCCACCCGTAGCTGTGAGTCGGCTGTCTCCCTCCTCAGAGTGTTTCCTGGTCTCTTTAACTGACCAGAATCATTCTGTCCCCACTGAAACTGAATCCTAGAGGTAGGTATTGTTTCTCAAATGGAGAACACTGATGGCTTTATTGGACCTGAGTATAATTGGGGACCTGTAAGGCCGATAATGGATAGATAATGAGAAAAGTCAACTTCTGCCACCTGCTGCCTCTAACCTTCTCTTTCATGGGGGACAGATAGATATGATTCAGATTTCAGTGACCAAAGATGCCTTTTTCTCCTTTGGTGACTGAAGGTAAACAGAGGAGCTCATAGGCAACGAGATCAGAGGCTTCCTAGCGATTCAAGTCTGGAGTGGAATCTTTTGTGTCTCGATTGTGGCTCTTCAAAGTCACCTGAGGTGCTTTTATAAAAGCCCAGAGGTGTGGTTTGCAGTCAAGCCTGGTTATGTGTATTTTATCCTCTATTTAATTGTCATATTCCATTAGAGCTGAGAATTGCTCTCCTGACTTAGTGCAGCTGTAAGAGTTCAAACACAAGGAATGCCTCCAAGAGCCTTTGCTCCTGCTTGCTAGTGTCCTGTATCAGGCTCTTGCCCATCCCTGCCCTGCAGCCTCCCAGCCTGCACCTGAGCTCCTCAATGATGCTGGCTGATAGTTGTTGCTCCCGGATGCGCCCCACCTCCTGAGGTGGCTGCCCCACTAGCTCAATGATGGTGACATGCCGCAGGTCTAGTCCACAGGTGGATTGCTGGGAGGGAGAGAAAACATTAAATACAATAGCCTTTGCCCTTAAGTTCTTAGGCTGCTTGGCTGATACCCACCTGTGACCACAGAAGGCAACATGGGAAAGGAAGGGTTTCTGCAACAATCATACAATCTCATAATCAAATTATCACATGCTATGAGGTCTGTACAACCTCTTCCCCCTCATTCCTGAAGCACTTGCTACACAAAAGTGTGTTTGTATTCTATTTAAGTGTCTGAAACTGATTTGCAACGTGGAGTAGAAAAGAGAAACACAATTCTTGACAGCCACCCAGTCTAATATTTTCTTCAGTCTTCTACCCACCTACCTATCTCATCCACGCATCAGTTAAAATCACTGCACAGCTTCCTCACTTTCCTTTATGATATCACGGCACTGTTGTACTGATAGTGATTGACAGCCCAGACCTGGAGCTAGATAGCTTGGGTTCAGTCCCAGCTCTACCACTTACGAACTAATGTGCTTGGGCCAGTCACTGAGTCTGTCTGTTTTCAGTTTCTTCACTTCTTCAGTGGGGCATAGAATAGTACCTACATCAGAGGGGTTGATGGGAGAACTAGTTGTATATGTATAAAAACATGTCAGTCATTACCTGGTACTTACCTAGCACTTCTTATACAAGTGAAATTCCTTGGAAACACACATGTAGTTTATTTTTAATATTTACTTTTGATCATAACTGTTTTATGAGCCTCTCCACATTCCTTTCCCAACCTACACCCAGTTCTTTGCAAAATACATCTACCGTTCCAGTGGTCTTACTGATTTTTCCATAAAAAGAACACTTTTTAAAACGTGACCAATGTACCTAATGATAAACTGAATCAAGTACTACCCACAAAAGTAGGAATGCATAGGTTTTGTGCGGCACAGATTAAGCTTTTTAACTAGGTCATCCTGGGAGAGTAGGTCTCACCTGCAGCATGGAGATCTGCATTTTGTAGTATCGATTGGAGGGATCAGGAGCTGAGACTATGAGGAGTCGCTGTTTCTCAAAGAACTGATCCAGGAGGCCAGCAGCTGAGTTGACATTGACATTAATCTTCATAGCTAGGGCAGAAGCAGATGGTCAGTCAGAACATGCCCTTCTTCACCCTGCAAGGCATTCTGGTCTTTTACATCCTTGCCCTCTCTTCCCTGAGGTGAATTCCAGAAGGAAACCTGAATGTTTTATGCTCTTCTTCTTGAGGTATAAGTATTCTCTGGGAGAATGTTGGCCCTTAAAACAGACCCAGGTCAGAATCTCCATTCTCATATCACACACATTGATATTAGACCTCTGGACCATGGAAGAAGTTCTTCCAAAGTGCCCCTGAGCCACAGGTCTGTTCACTCATTTCATAGTTTCACTCACGAGTACAGATAGGTGGTGATCCTGACCACTGTCGACTTGATTGGCAGACTCGGGATGGGGTGCCCTGGCGTTCATAACCACCATCACAGTGGTATTCACAGGTGGCACCATAGTTGTCCCCTGCGGAGGTGCAGGTGAGGTAGCCGTGCTGGGGTGGTTTCAGAGTTGGACAGCGTCTCACTGCCAGGGAGAAGCTCAAGTTAGAGGTTGTGATATCTCTTATAGTCAGGAAAGGCTAAGGGGCCCGCTCTGGGCTTTCTAGAACAAGAGACTTGAGATAATCCGAATGAATGGCTTTTGTATGTTTCCAGTAGCTGGGGATGGAGGTATAGTTTTCTTCCCTAAGGAATTAAATTTGAAATGCAAACACAGGTTTCTAGTCTTTCGGAACACACACACACACACACACACACACACACACACACACACACACGTATAGTCATGGGGTGACTGTAAATGTATAAAAGAAAATGTTGTCGTCTATATTTGTAGACTTTTATAGATAACCAGTGTAAAGATGACCAACTTGTCGAATGGCTTTTTTTTCTCTTGAAACCTGGTCTCACAATCAATATAGCACAGGCTGGAATGTCTTCTCTGTGGAGCCCAAGAGGTTCCAAACTCACTGCCGTTCTGCCCGAGCTTCCTAAGTGCTGTTATTACAGGTATGTGCCACCACACTTGGTCAGACTTACTTCTAATAGCATATAAGACAGATGAGTCCATGATGGAGAGATGTTTAAACCCATCATGATACAGTCTTAGAGTAGAATTATTATGTTGGGATTGAAAATATTTATGAACACAATATTAAAGAATATGGGGAAATTTCTTGTGTGTGTGTTTTTTGTTTTCTTTTGTTTTGTTTTTCTTTTTTGTTTTTTCAAGACAGGGTTTCTCTGTGTAGTATTGGTGCCTGTCCTGGATCTCCCTCTGTAGACCAAGCTGGCCTCGAACTCACAGAGATCCGCCTGGCTCTGCCTCCGAGTGCTGGGATTAAAGGCATGTGCCGCCACTGCACAGGGCTTGTGTTTTAATGAAAAATGGAAAAGGTGATCTTAAATGATATGTTGTAAGTATGTATAGAGAAAAAACTAGAAGGAAGGTACTAGAACGTTATCAACAATGATCCCCTGGAGACAGAGATAATAAATTTTTCTGTTTAGGTATTACTTTAATTTTTTTTTTGAGACAGCGTCCTGCTATGTACTCCCAGGCTGACCTTGAACTTGCTGTCCTGTTTCTGCCTTATGTGCTGGGATTACAGGCATGAGCTACTATACCTGGCTGTTTCTTTATTTTAAAATATTTAATTATGAGTATGAATTATTTTAATGATAAGAAAGGCAAAGTGAAGCAATGTGACATGAAGCAAAGAGGAAAATACCAAGCTACCAACATTATCATTTTGGCAGATGTGAATGGGCACAAAGACTCATCAAATTTGATCGTTTTTAAGGCCAAGAAAAGAAATGGATATAGACTATCTATGAATTTTATCTAGATTTAGAAGTGCGATAGTCTTATTGGAGAGTCAAGGCTTCTGTGACAATTTTATGCCCATGTAGTGTGGGTTTTCTTAATAAGTCTGTTTGACGAAGTTGGCCATTCCCCTGTGCACCTCCCAATACAAACAAGAGGAAGAAGTTGTGGGTTTCTGAAGGTCAGGGCAGAGCAGGAATGTTGAACAGTGTGTCCAATGAAGAGCTTTCTCTGACCTTGTACTTTTACAATGAACTTGCAGCTGGCCCGATTGTAGGCTCGGTCATAGGCAGTGTAACGAATCACATGCTCTCCTTCAGGGAAGTGAGAACCAGGCTCTGGGCCCCGAAGTGTCACCCTACATGAGACAGGATGAAGGAGTTAGTTAGCTCCTCAGGGAAAGATGGGTAGAATTGAGATCTGAGGCACATCATCACTTCAGGCAGAGCCTGTATGGTCAGACTGTGAGTACCCCAGGGGTACTTGCTGGGGACACATGAGGCATTCATGACACAAGCTCACCTGGTGATGGTACCATCAGCAGAATCTTTCACCAAGGGTGGGTCCCAGTATACTCGAGCAGTTAATTTCTCTGGCTCTGCCATCTTCTCACGGGAATGAGGACAACGGATCTTGGGTGGATCTATGTCTGCCAAGGTCAAAGATCAAGTGTGGATTTATAGATCCCCTGCCTTCCCTAGTGGAAGCAATATTACACACTGCTGGTAGGTAAAAGAACAAAAGTTCACCTTTATCTAGGAAAGAGGGGAAAGAAGCCTGGCTCTATAGGCAATAATGCTATGCCCATTGTGTATTCTCATACACAAGGTGTATGAATTCTGTGATCAGAATTCCACATCATCTGTGAGCATAATGCCAGGTCCCTTTTTGCAGCAGAATAACTGGAGCTGCCAGCATTTACCTACACATACAGGCTCTCCTCCACTCCATCGTCCATCTTCCATGCAGATGCGGCTGCGATCACCTTCTAGGTGGTAGCCACTGGAACAGCTGTAGTCACAGCGGGAATCAAGCAGCACCCCGTTTGTGCAGGTGTAGGTGCCGCTAGTGATGAACGGCAGTGCATGGCATCTCATCTCTAAGAGAGAAATGAACAGTAAGTTCAGCACCCTGTGGTACTACATTATGGAGGTGATGCATGAGCATCTACCATAGGAGGATCATTGTCGTATTCAACAGAGACTATAGAAAACTCACCCAGGCTGCTCTTAACTTTTTCTATGGAACTGCCTTTCCTTCAATTTGCCTTTTTATTTTCATCTTACCAAGTAAAGAAGCAATCTTAGTTGGCTGGATAGTGGGGTCTGAAGAAAGTAAACTAGTTGTCTGAGTGCATGATTATTACAATAAGATCCCGATTTGCATACTAACTTCACCTCTTGTTCTGTGACTTAGGGGTGTTGCTTCATTTTCTCTGAGCCTCACTGTTTTTTATCAGTAAAATATATTTACCTCACAGGACAATTTAAGGAAAGCATCGGCAATGGTTAATTTTTGTTTCTCATTCCTTAAATGCCGTGTCTTCTTCAAATGCTATATGCCCTAAAGCATGTTCAAAGCTATTGGCTGTACACACAGTTCAGCCAAGGCTCCCTTCCAGTCAGCTGGCTTTCTGTCCACGTGAGTCAGGCCACTGTCTGGAGGGCATGGTGATATTTAATAAAGGTGGAATCTGTGTACTTTAAAGGCTGTTAGCAGAGAATAGTTGTCATTAGTTTTCTTGGGGACACCTGATACTTGAGAGAAGTAAGCCATACACATTTCTTTAGCTTGTCTACGTTATAATCCTGCATAAAGTTTGAACGTTAAAACGTTCTAGAAAAATTCTATATGGGCTCTGTTCATTTTTGCTTCTTGACTAAACTAAGCTTTAAGATTACTGCTTTACTGTTTTCCTCTATTTGTTATGTAAAAAATTACATGAAAATGGCCTCCTTGAAATCAGAACCAGAAATCAGAAAGATTGGTCTCTTTGGATGAATTCACTTATTTAGTATTATATGACAGTGAAAACAGTAGATTCAACCACGAGGAAGGTCAAAGCTAAATACTGGATTCAACTGCAAAAGCCACCTCACTCTAGGCACCTGGAAATGGGCATGTTTCTATGCTTTTGACTACATTTATGTTTATAATTTATAGTCTTTTATCTGTTTTGTCAGTTCAATTCAAATTTATTTTGGAAATGATGGAGTTTAAGTCCTAAAGCAACTTACTTATCATCACCTGAAGGGTTGTAGTAACTTCTTTCTGTCCATCCACCTTTTCCTCTCCTTCATAGCTGCTTTTCTCACCAAGCTCATTCATTTCTGAATGCTTAGCACATCTGCATCCAGGTGTGCGACGTGCATGTGCACACATTTAGGTCTCTATCCCATTAGCCTATTAGCAACTGAAGGGTAGTTGAGGAGCTGAGTGATCTCCTGAAGCAGTCAGTGTAGAGCCCTGTGCACGTGGATGGCCTTTAATGGTATCTGCTCATCACACATGAAAGCCAAATCTCTGCTGCCAAAGGGCTGAAGAGTTTGAATAAGAGGTAAGGGTTTGGGAGGTGAAGGGAGATAGGATTTGGGTTATGTGTGTGTTTCTATCCCATATGATTGCATTGGGGATTCTTCCTACTTTAACAAGAAAATGATGACTAGCAGATGTCTCATTAGCTTTACTGGCAAGACCTTCTAAGGCTGTAGGCAAGGAAGGATGACACTTGACCACAAGTGGGAGAGACCACAAGTGGGCCACCTCTTGGAGCTTCCAAGGATGTGTTCCAGGCCTACATCAGTTCCTCATGGCCAAGTCTTGTCCTCCTACACACATTTCTGGGTGCTATGAGTCATAGTGGCTGGCTGTGACTTAAATACCCATATTACTTGGACAGTAATCATATACAGAGAAAAAATAAACTACAATGTCAGGAAGAGGAAAAGCTCTGTTGGAGGCCTATGGAAAATTCCCAACTTTCACAGAGTAAAACCTCCAGATATATACCTTCCATGGCCAGCAGGTTTCCTTCTTTCTCATACACACATCAGTATATGCTCACATACAACTTACGCCTGCAGTAGGCAGTTCCAGACCAACGCCGGCTTGGCAAGCATTGCACCGATCTCCGTCCAATCAGTCGAAAGCCCCGGTCACAGGAGAGCTCACAACGTGTGCCTAGGCTGCTGTGATAATTTCCTCCCCTTGGTGAGTAGCATGTGGCTTCTCCATCCTGGATATTCATTGTATAACACCATCGGGGGACTGTAGTAGCAGAAGAAAAGTAAGCTAGAAGTACAGTAATCAACCTTACACAAAGAACTATAGGTGACTGAGTAAAGAGGTGGCCCTCCTCAAGGAAGAGCACCCCGATTGGTTGTGTAGTGCGTAACAGTCTATTCAGAAAACATACATACAAGTAACATTATATGGACTCAATAGGCATATATATATATATATATATATATATATATATATATATATATAGGCGTATATATGAATATTTCTAAAAGAACAAAAGTTCACCTTTATCTAGGAAAGAGGGGAAAGGAAGCTGGCTCTACAGGCAATAATGCTATGCCCATTGTGTATTCTCATAGTGAACAGTAAGGCCTTCTGTGATTAGAAGTCCACATCTGTAACCATAATGTCAGGTTACTTTTTGCAGCAGAATAACTGGAGCTACCAGTATTTACAATACATATATTGTATATGTATGTGTGTGTGTGTATATATATATTATATTATATATACATATATGCATGTGATACCAATTGATGGAAAAAGAGGCCATGAATTCAAAGAGAATGAGAAGGGGTATATGTAAAGGGAAGGGATAAATGTAATTTAAAATACAACCTTAAAAATAAAGGCCGAAATAGCTCAGTTGGGAGAGCATTAGACTAAAGATCTAAAGGTCCCTGGTTCAAACCTGGGTTTTAGCAAACACTTGCTTTAGCCAGGTGGTAGTGGCGCACACCTTTAACCCCAGCACTCAGGAGGTAGAGACAGGCGGATCTCTGTGAGTTCGAGGCCAGCCTGGTCTACAGAGTGAGTTCCAGGACAGGCTCCAAAGCTACACAGAGAAACCCTGCCTCAAAAAACAAACAAATAAGTAAAAAATTAAATACAAAGTGACAACAAATCAGTGTGGTAGTGTCAAAAGAAAAGGCACATACCTCAGTGGAACAGATTAGAGTCCCAGAAATAAGCTTAAGTAGGTCAACATAATTTTGGACATAAGTACAAAAACAGTCCTATGGAAAAGAAACAGCTTTTCAAAACAAATGTTGCTGGAGAAAATGGAGTTTCGTGTGCAAAATTGAGGCAGAAGAAGAAAAGAAATAGAACCTAAGTCTCACACCTTATACCAAAAATTTAATAAAAATGGAAATTAGATTTACATTGAAAACAGAAAGCACAAAACTTATGGAGAACTGGAAAATCTCTGGGACCCAAAATGAGCAAAGAAGCCTTAGACAAGACACCATTAAATCATTAAAGAAAATCAACAAACTGGACCTTTTCAAAAGTAAAATCTTCTGCTCTGTGAATGAGTTCAAACAAAACACAAAAACTGGGAGAAAATGTTTCTAAACCATGTATCACATTCACAACAAATGACTAGTGAATGGAATATAGAATATAGCAAAAAATTTTCAAAACTCAACAGTAAAGATGCAAATTCTCCAGACAGCCCAGTTAGAATATAGAGAAAAGACAAAGAGACATGTTATTAAAGAGGATCTATGAATGATTAATAAACATATGAAAAGATGATCTTCACCATTAGTCACTAAGTAAATACAAATTAAAACCCCAGGGAAATATCATTAATATATCTCTTTGAATGTCTAACTATGAAATGACTATTCCAAGTGCTGAAGAAGATGGAGAGAACCTAGAACTCTTGCACTTTGCTTGGAGAAAGGCAAAAACATTGACATACTGTAAAATACTAGTTTATAGAAAAATAATCTCATACATTCTTTGTGAAGAAGGGATCGCTTACCATTTGACTCTGCAACTTCACTTCAAGGTGTTTATTCAAGGGAAATGAAAACCTGGGCTCACACACAATCATATGCACTAGTGTTTAAGGTACCCCTATTCATAATTGTCAAAAATCGGTTCTATGTGTGAAGAGTGGAGTTAATGAGTTTATCTCTGTATAAGAATGGTGTGCTGATACATGTGACAACACAGATGAATTGTAAGTGTATTTTGGGGAGATAGAGAAACAAGACTCCATTATATGAAATATACAGGGGCATCTATAGGCAAGACCATATGCATAGAGTACATATCAGTAGTTGCCAGGTGTTAGAGGTAAAGAGAGAGAACTACAAAATGGCAGCATGGGACAAGTTTCTGAGATGATAAAAACTTTCCCCTCTCTGCTGTTAGCTATCTTACACTATATATTTGTCAAAACTCATAGAACTGTATACCAGAAAGTGCATTTTGCTGTATGCAAATTTAAAACAACTTAAAAAAACATGGAAAATGTAAACCAGAGAAAGAATAGGAATATGACATCAAAGCAGACCACTGAGGACTGAAAAATCCAATCCCAGTTCAGTACTGAGCATGCAAGTTTACAGGATGATTATATTATAAAGACACCTTACTGGTGACAAAATGCATGCCTCTTCCACTGGTTCTGTGTTTTTATTTATTTTTTGAGACAGTGTCTGCTATATAGTCCATGCTGGCCTCAAATTCATGATTTCCCACCTTAATCTTCTGAGTAATGTGATTACAGGTCTGCACCACTACTCCTTGTTCTGTATGGTTCAGATTTTAGAGGGACACAAGGAAACAACTGGATGTGGCCTGCACAAGGGTTACTCACACAGCATGGCACGGATTTGTTTGCATAGGATTTGGAAGGCAAAAGCACCGTATAAGCTTATTTGATTTTCAAACCCCAGGGACAAAGACAGCACATTACATCGGGAGGTCAAGGAAAAAATGAAAGGCTAGGGCCTCTGCTTGCATGCAACTGGAGAATGAAGACAGATGACAGAGAAAAACTATTCAGTACCATGCTTGTGGCTTCCAGAATTAGTTTAAGTCGGTGGCAGTGACAGGGCTGCCATCTGGAGACACCATTATGAATTACATAATGTTTCTTACGTGCTAGATTTGCAGAGCTGCTGATTACAAAGCCACAACACATATCACAAAGACTTACATGGGAGGCTGGGATCTCAAAAGCACCTCTGTTCTATTTGTCTCCCATATCGTGTCAAGGAAAATACACACACCAGATTGAAACTGGGTAGAGGAAATAAGAATGGGAGAGAGAAATGCAAGGCTCAGAATCAATGCAAAGAGAGTGATAGGAGCCCGGCTACTGGAAATAAGTTCAAGCTTGCTGGCCTGGTCTCAGAAAGATAAATATCACATTTAAAAATATTTGTGATTCCTGGACTTTATACAGACGTAGAAAATCATGGCTTGATGTACAAATAGATCTGTCTACGGGGAACAGAGGAGGCTAATGGAAGAAGTGGGGGATGAGAAATGGGAGGCGAGAGAGGTAGGGAGGGATTCATTTAACACACAATATATACATGTATGCATTTTTAAAAAATTGCTAGCCCAGAGGAATTGTGACATAAGGACATAATGTTGGGAGACAGGAAAGGGGCAGAACCACAAATTCAGTTTTCAAATAAGGGAGAAGGTTGTCTCTAGGAAGTGTAGCCTGCTCACGATGATGGGACTGATAGAACAGTAGTCTAGAATATTTCAAGGGGAGGCTTACGAGCTGGCAGAAGCACTCAAGGACAAGTAATTCCAGACTGACTTCATTTCCTTTTTGGGTAGGGCCGCCAGACTGGTAGAACAGGGATGGTGAGAGATACGTTATGTGGAAGTCAGTGAGGCATGGCAGACACTGCCTTTCATGCCAGGGATGTGAATGAGATGAAGAAATACAGTTCAAGAGAGTCATAACTGGTTGGACAACTGCAGAAAGACTGCCAGTGGGAACTGGAACTAAGACTGTGGTTAAATAGTGCGTGCTAAAATGTCTGCTGGGCAGTGTAATAATACTGAGTCCTGTGTTTAGGCATCATACTGCCCTCCTTGTGTCCATCTCCTATAGTTCTCCCAATAGCCCCATGAGTTATGCAGTCATTAGCCCTATTTTTTAGACGACTTTCCCAGGTTCCTTGGGAAGTAAGGGTCAGGGCCATGACGGAGTCCAAGTTCTTTCTAAGTATAAAATCTGTCACTGCAGCTGCTCTTTTGAAGGACCCACTGATATTTTGAAGAAGGAATCGATCCACCTGTTTCATGACTCCCCAAGTGTAAACAGCGACACAGTAAAGTATCTCCTCTCAGTCCTCATGTGCCTATGCTCATTCATTCCACTTCCAAAGAACCTATGATAGCAGTTTATAGATAGAATGCAAACCCTTGTAGGACTTCTTAATTTTCTTTGCTCTTTTCACACATACAGTAGCATATTGGGTACATTGGTCCCATCACTGCTTTATATTTTTGTGGTTTTGGGGATCAAACCCAGGACCTTATGCATGCTGGGCATGTGCTCTAGCACTGACTCATGTGCCCAGTTCTAATAACTACTTTTGAAGTGAATAATATATTTTAGAGATCTTTGCATATCACATCATAGCAAGCATGGACTTTATCTAAACCGAATAACATTTATAGAACACTTAATATTATGAGTGACAAACTGGAAGGGCTCTCTCTCTCTCTCTCTCTCTCTCTCTCTCTCTCTCTCTCTCTCTCTCTCTCTCTCTCTCTGGCACACAAAGACAAGAAAGACTGGCAAGGAAAAGACATTCTCTGTGGTAAACTTGAGGTAACCCAGACAGTGACTAATTTTCTCAGGATTGAGACAAGCTGTGAGGTAGCTGCTTAGCCATCCAGAAGACTAAGGCTACACCTCAGAGAAAGGTTTCTGGCTCCAGGCAGGTTTCCTGATAAGATAATGGCAGAAAGTGTAAGGTTTGTGAAAACAATATCAAACTATGTGGACAGTGTTCCCTAAAATAAGGATATGCCTTTTCCTTCTTATCTCTTCTTTTTATCTTTTAAAGAACAGCTACATTTTTAATGAAAGACATGGAATAAGCACAGCGTGGTAGTCAGAAAGACCTAGGTTTAAATGCCTCTTCTGCCTCATTAAGTTCTGCCACTCTGAGACTTCCCTGAGCTTAGTTTTCTGGTCTGTAAAATGGGAGATAATAAAGCAGCCCCATGTGGCTGTGGTGAGAATCAAATAAAACCCCACACATGCCGGGTGGTGATGGTGCACTCCTTTAATCGCAGCACTCGGGAGGCAGAGACAGGCAGATCTCTGTGAGTTCGAGGCCAGCCTGGTCTACAGAGCAAGTTCCAGGACAGCTAGGACCACACAGAGAAACCCTGTCTCGAAGAACAAAAACAAAAACAAAAAACAAAACAACAACAAAAACCCACTTCCACCACCACCCCCCAAACCCCACACATGAAATACCCACTCCCAGGAATGATTTTGTCTACATCAGTGTCTGCATTGAGCCACTGTCTCGTGCGTCTTCAAGCACCGACACACTGGTGTCCATTTCCAGTGCTTACACTTGGTGATATCACCTCTACATTGCAGGAAGTTTTGAAATGGCACAGTTGCAGAGAAATTGCTAGGCACAAAAAGGATTACAAAGGAGGCCAGAACCTCAGGTTGTACTTTTCCTGGCCATTCCTTTGTATGCATCATTGATAGCCTTAGTTTGTTTTAGGCCTGGAGACTCAGTTCCAAAGAGAGCAACTGGACACTAGACACCAAGGCAAATGATACTGTGTGACATATGAGTTTCTAAAGGGCTTTTAGCTGAGGAGCCCCCATGGAACTGGATCAGGCCCTCTGGATAAGTGAGACAGTCGATTAGCTTGAACTATTTAGGAGGCCCCCAAGTAGTAGGACCAGGACCTGTCCTTAGTGCATGAGCTGGTTTTTTTGGAACCTGGGGCCCTATGCTGGGATACTTTGCTCAGCCTAGGTGAAGGGAGGAGGGGACTGGACCTGCCTCAACTGAGTCTACCAGGCTGAGCTGAATCCCCAGGGGAGTCCTTGCCTTGGAGGAGGTGGGAATGGGGGGTGGATTGGGGGGAGGACGGGGGGGGGGGATGGGAGGAGGGAGGACAGGGGAATCCATGGCTGGTATGTAAAATTAAATTAGTTAAAATAAAAAAAGATAATTTAAAAATAATCAGTAAGGCAGGTAAGTAGTAATAACGGGGATGGCAGACCCTTCAAAAGTAGTTCTGGAGCGGGATGTATGGTTTGGTGGTAGAACCCAAGCCTAGCATGCACGGGGCCCTCGTTTAATTCACAGCACCACATGAAGAAGTACCTTTTGAATTTAATGCTTTTTAGTATCGTATTTTTCCATTTTTCTTTCCCAGGAGGCTAACAGTCAGCACCTACTTTTCATATGCTTCTGTGAGAGTGATATACATGGTACCCTTTGTTAAATAACTGCTCTGTTCAGAGCAATAAACAGAACACAGTGAAGGCCAGATGAGTGAGTGGTTTTGACAAACAAACAAATAAATGAAACATTCATTTCAGAAGAGGCACATAGGAGATAATTAAATAACGAGGGCCAGCAAGATGGCTGGGTGGGTAAATGTACTCACAAATAAGCCTGATGACCTGCGTTTGACCCACAGGATCTACATGGTAGAAAGAGAGAACAAGCTCTCTGGCAAATGGTCCTCTGACCTCTACACATGTGCTGTGGCACACGTCCTCCAAATAAATGAAAAATATAATGAGAAAAACGAATGAAGGTGAGTGAAGTCCCAGTGTGTACTAAATCAATTTGTGGGAAAACCAGTATACCACCCTAGCTAGAGCACGGATTTCATGTGGAGAAATGGTGTAAAAAGTCATCAGACTGGAACATGAGGCTAGATTTTGTTTAAAATGTGTTTATTTGGTCACTACATTGGAGGAATGCAGAAACTTGAGCCAGGGAATCTAATTAGGAAACAACAGCCTTTGTCTATGTATGGAATAATAGTAATTCCAATCCCATGTATTAAAGAAATGATAGGGCTTGGTGAATGACTAGTGAAAAATAATGAGGAAAGGGGGTTATTAAATGTGATGGGGATTGTTAGAAGTGACGCTGGGGTATTTTGAAGTCTGAGTCACTAAGGGGATGGTGGTCGTATTATCAGAAAGTAAGACAGTCAGGTTTATTGTAGAACTTTTTTCAGATAAGACAAAAGAATTGCATTTTAGACATCTCTAAATGGGTGTGTCTAGCAGTGTTAGAGATGCAGTTCAGGAGCTCTGGAGCTAAGTCAGTTATCCAAAATTCAGATGTCAGCCTTCTTCTCGCTATGGTCCCTACCAGAGACTCCATTTCCTATCCTGGCTTCAACTATGATCAGAATAGGGAAATTACCATGAAATCCAAGGAAGGGGAACCAATAAGAAAAGGATGTGCTTGCTGCTGTTTGAGAGACTGAGAGTGAAGCTCAAGGCCATACGATTTGGTGATCAAGGGAGAACTGTCATTTTCAAGATGTGTTGTGTCAGCTGGGGCTACGTGGGTGGATGGGGAAACAGGCTGCAGGGAATTTAGAGTCGGAGGTAGTGGTTGTGCACCATTAGCAGTGAAAAGAAGACAATAAAGGCATAGCTAGAAAGGGGCGCAGAAGAACCCCAAGCTGGGATCATTTATCTACCGGAACTGCCTTCGCAAAGGTCACCATTTACCTCCTCAGTAACTGAATATTTGCTGTCGTTTGACCTCTTTGCAATGCTTGACATAGCCGATTCCATATCGTTTCCATGTTTCTAAATTTTCATCTGCAGCTTTTGTAATATTCTTGATAGAAATCTTCTTCCACACTGACCTTTCTCTCTCTCTCTCTCTCTCTCTCTCTCTCTCTCATTTGATGTATATTTCTCTCCTACTCATATATAACAATGTCTTCTAAGGCACTGGCCTTGGCTCTCTCTTCAGAGAGCCTTTTAATTTAAGCTGGGTGCTCACAAAACTTCCTCCCTCTCTCTCTTTCAACCATCTACCCAGCAACCTTCCAAATTCGTTTTCTTTTTTTCCGTGTGTGTGTGTGTGTGTGTGTGTGTGTGTGTGTGTGTACGTCCACATGAGTCCATGCTCACACATGTAGTTGTATCTGTGTGTCCTTGGCCCATGTGGTGCCAGGGATTGAACTCAGGTTATCAGCAGGCTCTTTTTTTTTTACCAGTTAAGCCATCTCATTGGCTCCTAGTTTACTTTTCAAACTTTGTCCTTCTGAAAGGATTTTTAGAGTCCTCCTTGGTATTCAGATTGGAGTCTTTCAGACATTAGTTTCTTGATCCCTTAGCACATCAAATCTGCATCGAATTTTATCATCTCCTTTGAAACATCTCTGGAATACATCCTTTCATTGTGATGCTGGGACTCAAACCCAGGAGAGCTTTCTACACTCCATGCATTCACTCTGCTATTGAGATATACCTCTAGTCCCTCTGGGGTCCATCCTTACTCTACATTTATTTGCCCCCAGATTCGAATGTTTCTACCTAACATTTCTGTAATTGATTCCTGGAAACTCTCCCCAACTCAGGCTTTACTTCTTCCAACCCGTATTTTCTAAACAGAATAACCTAGTTAGTGTTCTGAAATACCTTTTACAGTGGCACTCACCTGTGAAAAACCACATGACCACTCTTTAGAGCATAACAGCAAAACTCTTATGTATGCTCAGGAAAGCATGGACAGAGATAATCATAAATTGAAGTCATATTTGACATCACCTGAACTAACTTGCTATCCAATAAAGAAATTGCTATTCAGCATTCTTTCTGACTCTCCTTAGAAAGACCCCCTAGGAGTGGGACGGCAGTGGCGCCACCTTTAATCCCAGCACTCAGGAGGCAGAGCCAGGCGGATCTCTGTGAGTTCAAGGCCAGCCTGCTCTACAGAGCGAGATCCAGGACAGGCACCAAAACAACACAGAGAAACCCTGTCTCGAAAAAAACAAAAAACAACAACAAAAAAAGACCCTAGGTCATTGGGCCTTTCCTAACTTACTCTTTACACCCAACTCCATTCTCTTATTCTCTACTACTCCACTCATATTCCACCCCTTCAAGTCAGTGTAATTTCTTCTTAGTTCCTTAGTGCAGTGAATTTGGTTTTACCTTAATATCTTTGGCCATCTGCTTTGGCAAATGTCTGCCTATCACCTTTCCCAGTTCATAAGAGTCTGCTCATCATTCGCGGCCTATGCTGAATGTCATCTTTCATGCATGACCACTTTCCTGAATTCTTCATCTTATATTCCTACTTCATTTATGGCTACCACACAGTTTCACACTTATTTGCTTTGCACGTGTTAATTTTATTCTCACTTCATGCCCAACATAATGCAAGCCCGTCCAGGGGGGCAGAACCTTGTAGTAGCCCTTGTCTTTCCCATAGACTTACCCTGCACAGGAATAGGCATAGAGCAGATACTCAGTCTGTGCTTAATGACTCATAATAGATGAGCATCCTTCAGGCCAGGGAAGGGAAACCACAGAGCAAGTCAGTAACCAAGTTTGTAATTAGAAATCATACCATACTTGCTGTGTGTGGAGGTGCACACGTGTAACCGCAGCACTGAAGAGGCTGAGGCAGAAGGGTCTTGAGTTCAAAGCCATCCAGGGATACATAGTGAGACCCTGTCTCAAGAAAGAAGTGAAGAAAGCAAGAGGGCTGGGGCTCAGTGCTAGAGTGCATGCCTAAAAACAAAACAAAGGGACAAACAAAAACAAACAAAAAACAAAAACAATGATGAAAATCATAGCTCTTGATGCTTGTATGAGCTGCAGTTCAGACACATATGAGCTAAGCATGGATGAGGTTGTTACTGGGAAGATCCGGGTCTTAGTGAAGAAACCTTCCTTCCTGAGCTTGAGAAACATGAGAATTACCTCTGTAGTCCAGGGTGCGGGCAGCTGGGACCTCTTCTGCATACACTTCATTGTAGCTTTCGTCTGGATAGTGGCCTGAGCCTAGAAGGAGGAGCAGAGTATAAAAGTGTATTCATTTCTCACTCAAGTTCTTCCCAGTACCCTAACCCCTGTGTTTTTCTGAGGAGCTGGCACTTCATGAGAGGGCTTCCAAGTGATTTGTAAAACTGTAGAACTACTGTGGGTGAGCTTGATCACATGAGGTACATAGACAGCAACCTCGGAGGGGTAAGGTGTGGTGGGGGCTCTGGATGTACTAGGAGACTTTCAAAACAAAAGAATTGGACTTCTTAACTACCTATCAATCCTGCCAATCTAGACGACAAATGGCCCACTCCCTTGATGAAGCTTGGTGAGACACTGATAGCCAAGCTCTGGGGGTGGACTGTGGTCCCAGTTCTGAGGAAATAATAGCGCTAAGTGTCTTCTCCAATGACAGGCATGTACACGGCTCTCGAAGGGAAACAGAATTTCAAGCTCTCTCGTTAGCCTACAGGGCATAGTAAGCACCTGATTGTTATTGCTGCTGTGGCATGCCAAGGCAGAGATGGATGGCTTAAAGGGCAAAAGGGAATGAGAATTCTTTCATAAGCACTTTATTCTGGCTTGGAGTAAAAAGAGAAGTCAGAGTTTTTTGTTTTTGTTTTTTTCTCCCAGTGCTAGTGATTGAACTTAGGGCCCCCTACATGTAGTGCAGCAGCTCTAACGCTCTCATAGTAAGCTCTGTGTCCCAATGCAGAGTCCTTGGGATATTTTCTCTTCTTCCGGTCAGGAGCAGCATTAGCAGTGAGCTGCTCAACTAGAAGACATTCTCAGTCTATCTACTTCCATTCAGTTAAGTGGCCCAGTTCCTGGTGGTGGCAGGTCTGCGGCTGTCGGGGAGACTAAACAGTATGTTCCACCAGACGCAGGAAATCGGTCAAATGTGAACTAATTGGAAAACAATTTAGCTCTTTCCGTAGCAAAGTTTCCGGAAGGCCTTCTCTAATGCCCATGTGCTCTAATGCATGTTCAGGGCCAGGGCAGCCAGCCTGTTGGAGTCTGCAGACAGTTCTCCATTTCCAGGAGAGCCTTTGTACTTCCAGGACTGGGCTGGGCTTTCGAGCTAGAGCCCTTTGACCTACGTAAACACACAGAATGTAAGCCCGTAGTCTTTTCTTGGCCAGAGGCACAGGAACTCCTGCACTACAGGGTGGAGCAGAGGGCAAGATGATGCAGCTCCCTGCCTCCCCAGGGCCCAGGCTAGGAGTGTGAGTGTGTGTGTGTGTGTGTGTGTGTGTGTGTGTGTGTGTGTGTGTGTGTCAGGGGGGTGGGCGTGGATGTCAGTCCAACTTGGTAAACATGGAGATGAATCAGATTGCAAGTTTGTCTTATGAAATCATGTCCATATTGGTTTACCCTCATTCCAGAGGAAAGGGTTCACTTTTTCTCTCCAGTTTGGCTCTTTTCACATTTCAGTTTGTCTGACTTGCCTCTGCTTCTCCTTAGGTCCCCTCTTCTCTTTCCCACAGGGGAGGTTTGTTTGTGCAGCATGGACTCCTTGTAAGCTGTTTTAGTTTAGTGTTAGCCTCAACCCCTCAGAGCTCCTGTAAACAGGAGGCCAGATGTGCTTGCTTCCCTAAAGTATTAGGTCTCCCCATTCTTATTGCAGAGCTAGCTTGGGAAGAAACGCTCATCAGGGACCAGCTGTTCACCAGAAGAGAAAGCAGGGTGTCCTAGGCCTATGTCTCGATAAAGTAATGACAGTGGCAGCTTAGCTCTTACTATGTAGAGCATATGCTAGCTCATTACGTTGCCATAACATCTCAATTGGGTACATACCAATAATGCTCTCCTACATATAGACACAGAGGCTGACTCAGAGGAATAAAGGGAGTTGCCCAAGGCCTCTAGATAGTACATTGCAAAGTAGACCTCCCAGCCCGGTTCTGTTTGAGCCCTATGGACTAGACTCAGATACTAAGATTCAAGTGGTGGTAGAGGAGACATTTTTGACTATGTCCAGAAGGGATAAAGAACCCAAATCTGTCATGTAGTCTAGCATTTTTACTGTGGCAATGGGGTGGGGTGGGGGAGACCATAGACCATCGTGCATTTTATACTGTTCCAGAATTACAGGGGATGTGGGAGAACTGGGGGAAGACTCAATCACATAATTACAGTCTCCACCAGCATGCGGAGGTAGCTGAACCAGAGCTAGGTTTTCTATGTACCAGGAATGGGCTTGGGCTAGTTAACTGCTTAAACTTTCCCAAGTCTCCTAGTTGCCTACTTTTGAATATTTTATGCACATTTTGGGATACTGAAGTGGGCTATAAGAATGAAACTATGCAGAAGGACACAGCCTCTGTATCATTCCATTTGCTTGAACCTTTTTCAGTTCCTTTGCATCAGTCAATGGCTGCTTACTGTGCAGTCTGTTACTGAGTTCCTTCAAATTCCACAGCCAAGTAGGACCCTCTAAGTCCAGCCTTTCATGAATGTATGGTTGGAAAGATACTTCATAGTTGAAAATGATGTTAAGAACCACATTAATGTCTGCCCTCTGAAGACAAATACTACAGTACACATTTTTTAACCCACTCAGCTTCATGTATAGTCACTAACATTTTCTACTCTCTGTTAACTATTCCTGGATGCATTTTCTCACTTGCCCCGAGTCCACACTTGGCTGTTTACCTTGTGCCTTTCCCATTTGAGAACAAAGCCACACCAGAGAACGAAACACTCCTTGGGGGTATAGACAACGTTGGACACATATTTGTTGAGTGAATGAATGAATGAATGAATGAATGGGCAAATGGACACCACCCCAGTGTTTGAGCCAGCAGTGAAGGAAGAATCATTAAATCTCTAAGTATCTACCATCATGCAGCCTTCTAAGAAGGCTTGTAGGGCTGCCAAAGACTTAGCAGCTTGGGTTCCTCACAAGTGAACAAGTGTTGACTGTGGTGATTCGTGGAGAAGTGAGGAGTGTCTGATTTGCAAACAGCCCTCTGAGAACCTCACATGAAGGTAAGTGTTTGTAATGCCTTGTCTGAAAAACTCGAATATTTTAGGCTTTAACGAGTTAAATACAGATGTTCAGAATTGGGCTTTGAACCATTGGTTCTCTTCTCTCTCCCTTAGTTCTGTGGGCTTTGGGGTAGATTTTGCTCTTCTATACTTCGATTGAAGCCAGCAGGGGTTTGTGGAGAACAGCTGTATATTTATCTCCTGAAGACTTGGGGCTCTTTTCACCCCAAACACTGTGCCTCTGCCAAGAGCTTGATTGGAATTTCTTCAGTTGAATGTCAGCCCTTGTGCTTTACCCCCTACTAGGCCAGGTTAAGCCAAAGAGGGGAAGAAGCTTGCATACTTGTTTGAAAGCTGGATGCAGCTGTTCCAGACAAACAGAGCTGCTGCCAAAGGCCTTTACCAGGGGCTGGGGGGATGTGGAAAATTTTAGCTGCAATGGCGGTGGCTGTGATGGTTGCAGTTTGTTATTTACTCATCTCTGGATATTTTCCTAACCCCACTGGTTGGGACTGTCTCATTCTCCCACTCTCTCCAGGCCCTATGAGGGCAGACACTGCAGGCCACAGAGTATTCTTAGCACTTGAAATGCCACTGGAACCCGATCAAAAACCTCTGTATGGTGGTTCAGTATCCTTTCCTTGTCCTGCCTTGTGTTCTACCCCCCTCTCCTCCTCAGAGCATTCTTGTTGGCTTGATATGTCTCCCAGGGGTGCAGAGTGAAATATTCAGGATTCTGGAAAGCTGCATCCTTTCTGAAATAAGGAACAAACCCAAAGAGAATGGCGTTCCTAATTAAGAGAATGTGATCTGTACTGTCATTGACTGTGTTAGCAAAAAGGCTATACAAATCCTATAGACACTCTGGGAGGAAGAAAGAAAGAAAAAAAAGCGGGGGGGGGGGGGTCTGGTGGAGTCTTGTTCCTCCTTAGTAGACTGTCTCCCTTATATTTTTCCGAAAGAAATACATGATCTGAGTTCTATTTTGTGGTCTTGACAAGGATTTTTGACTCAGGAAAGAATTAATATTAATGAATCTTTGGCTTATTAAAAACATCTAAGAAGTTGTCAGTAGGCTGTGGATAGAGTTCAGTGGTAGAGAACTTGCCTAGCATTTGGGAGACTCAACATTCAACTCCCTGCGTAGAAAGCAAAACATATAACAAAACAACCAAACACACAGGCAAACCTAAACACCCCGTTGTTGTCAGGAAGTTAAGTGAAAAGGGCAAGTGGAGAAAAGGGACTAGGAATCCTGGCCTCAAAGGCCACGCCATCTCACTCTTTCATTTCTGTGTTAGCACAGCGCATTATCAAATAGCTCTTGCTAGGGTGCCTCATGAGCCTTGGTCGGTAGCCCTTTGTAATATTTAGTCATCTTTATTGCCACCTAATGTTTTTTTCTTCTGGGTCTAAGTTAGGGATCTCTCATTGTCGTCTCGTTCTTCCCTCTTCTATGTCTTGGTGGAGTTCGTGACCTCCATAGAAGGGATGGACAAAACGGCCCCCAGAACTTACCTGCATACCATGTTGCTAGCACTGCTGGTGTTAGGAAGAGCAGCAGGGAGAGAGCAGCTCTTTGAGTCAGTTGACCAGCCATCCTTAACAGGGAAGCTTCAGGAGACAAGGATAGGACTATGTGGCCAGAAGTGTCAGGGTAAGGGAAAATGACTTTCAGAACTGTACTAGCTATGAACTCCCAAAAGTGAGAAGCAGCAGATATATGGGATCTGTGAGGAAGAAAAGGTTAACATTAATCAATTCCAGTTGTATAATCTGGCTCATAAACCTTTCCTACTTCATAGAATAAAAAGACTTATTTGGATTTATGGTCCCCTTTCCTCCAAGCAGGAAAAGGAGGGCATCAAGCACCTAATCCTCAACTTGTTCTGGTACCATCCAGTGTGAATATTTCATGGTCCAAGTCACAGGGAGGGACATTGAAGTTCCAAGACCAGGGAAATGCTAACATAAAGTCACACAGAACCAGGAGGGAATTCCGGAAATCCAAAGGCTACTAGTTAGGGATTTTGTCCACTCAGTGTTTCTTAAGCACAAATCTGGGAAAGCATTAACATATATGGCCTAAGACCTTGAGCTCCAGAGTGAGGCAGATCCGGATATGAATCCAGTTCTGTTACCAATATGCAAATGAGGTAACTTCCCTAAGCCTCGGTCTCTTCACATATAGAACAAGAACAGTAGTACCCACCTCAGGGGATCTATTATTGCCTGCTACCGAGGGAGAAACCCAGTGTGTTTTCCCATTATTATTACTAGCCTCATAGCGGACAAGACAGGGCGTTTCCAGGCACTAACTATAGTTCTGTTCTCCTCTTAGCTTTGGGTTTTGAGGCTTAGTGGTTTGACAGTCACTTCTGGCTTTCAAGTCCAGCCTACCCCTCCAGTCTTGCCCTGCTGAACTAGCAGGAAAGCAGAGAGGTTGAAGAGGACCTAATGAGGCCCACAAGGAAAATATGAGCAAGCTCCTATTGCTAACTCATTTTCCTTTCTGGGGAAATCTTTCACACTAATGAGATGAGATGAGAGAATTCTGTGGTGCCACTGGACAAATACTCCCCAAGCAGCAGCCCTAAAACTTGCTGCCCATCAATAGAAACTAGTCACTGAACCTTTCCACAAGCATCCATTCACCCACATGCTTTCCATGCAATGCCAGGCTCAGAGGAGGAGTCGGTCTCAGAAACGGAGAAACAAAAAACAATGGCAGGTTCTGGGCAGGGTCCTTAAAGGGCCATCCAATAAAGCCAAAAACTCATTTTCCAAGTCATTACTCATTGATTTTTAGATCTGGGGTGTCTATGAAGTAGGAGAGAGGGAAAAGTGAGAGTAAGGAATGGAGGTGGAGAAAATGGAAAGCTGTGGTAAGGATGCTATCAGGAAAAGAAAATTGAAAGGAAATAGATGATTAAAGCACCAAGTGGGAACAGAAAACGTGCTTAAAAAGAGCCAGGGAAATGAGCTAATCACTAGCCCTTCTCCCATGTTCTTCCCTTCGCAGTGGAATAAAGGTTTTCCTGTGTCAGCCCCCAGACTCTTAGCGCCTATGACCTCTCTCCTGCCCACCTTCTCCCCAGTCTCAGACTGAAAAATTTGACTCACCGGAGGGAGCCATCCTTCTGCTGGGAGCTGAGAAGAGAGCAGGAACATGCATCTGCAGCCAGCACAAATGAAAACAGCATATGATCCAATTTCATTAAAAAGTTTCCCTCCCCTCCACCTCCAGCCATAGCAGCTAAAGTCTCGGGTCTGTTGACCTCTCGACAGCTGTGAAATGGGGCAGTACAGTGTGAGGAATGAAGGGCAGTCCTTACCTGATTTTTATTGTATTTTTTTGCAGTCTCCTTCTCTCTCTTCTTTCTCCTTGCTCTCTGCTCCTCTCATCAGTCGGGGGGAAACCCTTCTACTTTAACATTCCTAGAACCAGTGGCTCCTGGTCTGTCCGGGCCTCCGGGATTCTGGTAACACTGCCCAGATGTTGGGACATTCACATCTGCCAAAAGTTGTCTTAAAGCTATATTATCCCCAAAGCTATAGTTATTACTCCTCAAGAGAAGAGTTTTAGAAGGGGGGAGGGCAGGAGGATTAGAGGAGCTGGGGTTGTCTGCTGCAGAATAGGGCGAGTGTGAATGGCACTGGCCTCAAGCTCTGAGTGTAGTGATGACTAACAGAGGACTTCCAGAGATGTGTTCGGAGGAACACTACGTTTTATGACTCAGCATGACATCAGGAGTAAATGAAAAGGGATTTCACCAGCTCCGGAGAGGAGACGCATGTAACTGACTTTAGCTTTTCCCTAGAATTTTTTCCCTGTAATTCTTTAGTTCTCTCAAATTCACAGTTGCATGACACAGGGTCGGATATACTTTGAAACCTTCCTTTCAACGACTTAACTTCTTTGTGGTTGTTGCACTTTTAGAAATTCTTTTCGTACAATACATCATTGTCATGTTTTTCCCTCCCCCAATTCCTCCCAGATCTTCCCCACCCAACTTTATATTTTTTTTCTTTCTCTTTAAAAAAAACAAACAACTTTTTTGGTCATAAATTTATGATAAGGTTGTGTTTACAAAAAATATCATGCAGTGTGTGTGTGTGTGTGTGTGTGTGTGTGTGTGTGCGTGAGAGAGAGAGAGAGAGAGAGAGAGAGAGAGAGAGAGAGCCATGTGAGCACCCTATCACTGAAGTATACCCCTCCCTTATTAACACTTGCCTGAAGAACCAAAATTAATTTCCCATACTGTGAATGGAAGGAAAGTATGCCTAGTGAGGCTTTTCTGGAAGGCTCTTTAAGTAAATCTAAATAATCTATGCATGGCAAGATGATTCCCGTTGCTAAACTGTTTTTCAGTGGTCTCAGATGAAGGGCTAGTTTTTTATTCACTAAGCAAGCTTTCTTCATCTTATTGTCTGGTGTTATTCTTACATAGTATGGAATAATTCTTACATTATTCTTATATAGTATAAACCACCCTATACCCATTATCTACTCACAGTTAACATTTCTAGCTCTTGAAAATTCAGTTTAGATGGATCTGGTGGTATAGACCTAAATTTCCAGCACTTGGGAGGCTGAAGCAGGGGAATTGTAAGTTCCAGATTAGCCTAAACTGCAGAATAAGTTCCAGGATAACCTGGGATAGGTAGATTAGATTATGTCTCAGAAGAAAACAAATCAGAGATTTCTGTGACATTTCTTTTGGTTTCTTTTGGATGTGACATTGCTTTTGACCTCATGAATTCACAGCAACAGTGGCTGCATGCACAAGTCCTGCATGCGAGTGGGCTCATTGACATCCCATCATGGGAGGGGAGGGACTTGTCGGATTAATGGTTACTAGGGAGAGGAAGTCACATTCTCCAGTAGTGCAGCCACTGGTTAGCTGCCCTCATTCATCAATACCTTCCCACTCATGCTCATGTAGGCAACCCTAATTAAATGCACAAAAAGTAGAGTGGGGACTTGCTGGCAACAAAGAGGAATTTGGTGTCATTTGGTGTCTGGTGAGGTAATAGGAGAGGTAATATGACCCAAGTACATCCCTCTCCTTAAAAAAGAAAGAAAAACTCAGTTTTCTGTTTTGAGAATTGCCAGCATGAGCTCTGCATTTACGTTAATTCCCACACCTCCCTTCCATCTTTTGAACTCCTTCCATGCCCTCACAACTCCCTCTCAAATTCACAACCTCTTATTTTATCCCAAGTGTTCAGCCCCAAATATGTGCCTATAAGAGCACACTAAATGGGTTCCGTAGACTGTATGTAAATAACTTGTGTGCGTGTAACAAAGTACATTTTTATATGTATATAAAATTGTGAAAGAATCGGTATTTTTTTTTGTTGTTGTTTTTCAAGACAAGGTTTCTCTGTGTAGCCCTGGCTGTCCTAAAACTCACTTCATAGACCAGGCTGGCCTCGAACTCAGAGATCTACCTGCCTCTGCCTCCTGAGTGCTGGGATTAAAGGCATACACCACCACACTGACTAAGAATCAGTATTCTTTCACAAAGAAAAAAAATCAGTAGTTGTAGATGAAAAAAATTGCTCTGTGTGTATAAGTGCATTTATAATATCTTGATTATCAAGGAAAGAATTGGGTCCATAATTTTACAAAGTTCAATAGTAAACCTTAAATCTGTTTCATTTTTAAACCACCAATTACATATATGTATTGAATATCTATCATGGTTCAAAAGTGTGGCACTAATAAGAAAGTAAAGGACACAATTTTGCCTCATTATTTAATACAGTTTTCAAGTACCTGATGGGAAAGAGTGCTGGGCAGAATGGTGGATAAAACAGATAAAATCCCTAATATCTTGATAGTCATTTTTATAATTAATTTGACAAATACATATTGAGCATCTACTATGTGCCTTATATTGCTCTAGACAATTGAAAAGCTTCAGTAAAAAAAAAATTGAAAAAAAAAATCACATCAAATGAAAAATGTGCTTAATGACCATTTAATGTGTTCAGAGAATCTTTGTTGTTCAGATCAAATAAGGGTAGCATCAGGGATACAGTGTTGAGCAAGGAATGTGGTTCATTTGATCTTATAGAGCTTGCATCCACTTCCCAGAGAATTTATGTGCATATAGGAGAGAAGGGCGGCTCGGACATCTGGAGAACAACACGCCAATAGCAATAAAACACCATAAACTACAGTCTAGTCTCTGTGGACTCTAGGAGGCCAGAGGAAGGGGGTCGGGTGGAAAGAATTAGGCTTTGATCTATTTTCAGGCAAAAGAAATGACATAAACTGGGGTTCACTGTTAGGTTGGGGGGGCCTGGTGGGTGTTCAAGAGAGTCATAGTAAACAAAGTTGAATAAATAAGCTAGGGTCAGAAGATCCAAAGTGAATACACGAACTCTGTGTCTCTGTCTCTCTGCTTCCTTCTCTCTCTCTCTTCTTCTCTCTCTCTCTCTCTCTCTCTCTCTCTCTCTCTCTCTCTCTCTCTCTCTCTCTCTCTCTCTCTCTCTCTCTGTGTGTGTGTGTAGGGGGGTAGGTAAAGGCGAAATAATAAAATATTTTTTACCAGGTTGTTGGCTTCCTAAAATAACTCCTTCAGTGGCACTGGCTCTGACTCGGACTTGGCCTAGCGAACAGTCATTCCTCGGTATGACCCGACACATCATACTGTTCCTTCACAGGCAAGCCCACATCTGCCTTCAGCCTAGTTTGGGGCATTTTGGGGCATTCATCTCATTACTCTTTATTCCCAACACACTGAGTTTCTTCCCTTCCTTTGACACTTTCATGATTCTGTACACACAAAATTCCTTCACAAATCCCTCCCTCTTTTCTTGGTCAGTTGAAAACCGTATCTCCTGAGAAGCCCCAGCTCAGTCAGTCAGAGGGAGTTTACTTCCCTTCTTTTGCCTCCCACAGCACAATTCACATACGTCTTAATTACTGCATGCACATCACGGTTGTTGCCATTGTCCTTGATTTATGTCTGACCCCTAATAGACTGTAAAGGCCTGTATTGTGCCAGGTTCTTCTCTCCACTCTTCTTTATATTTCCAGCTCTCAACAGAGAACCTGGCTCAGGCTAGGATGAGGATGTTCCAGAAAGCCTCATGTAAGGGCACATGTGAGGGGACAGCATTCCTGGGAAGCACAAGGATGAGTAGTATGTGTCTCGCCCAGAACAGCTGGGGTTAAACACACACACACACACACACACACACACACACACACACACACACACACACACACACACACTTCTGCAGCACCTACTTTGTGTAGAAAATACTATACCTCGGAGGAGTATACAGTTAAACAAAACCACCTCTCTGTGTTTGGTTGGAAAGAAAAGATGATAATACAGACAAAACACATGCTAAATTTATTAAAATTCAGTATCATTTTCAACTTAAGAATGTTAATATGGCTGGGGTGGTGGTGGTGGGGTGGTGGCGGGGTGGGGGTGGGGGTTGGTGGCCTTTAATTCCAGCCCTTGGGAGGTAATCCCAGCACATGGGAGGCAGAAGTAGGTGGATCTCGGTGAGTTTAAGGCCACCTTGGTCTACAGAGCAAGTTCTAGGACAGCTAGGGCTGTTACACAGTGAAACTCTATTTCAAAAAACTAGAAAAAAAGAATGTCAACATGAAGCCTTTAAACATTCAATAAGGTTTGTTCTCTTAAAAATACTAGATAGTTATTTGTCTTCTTTTTGTGATCTCAACGAAGCTCAAAGAGGTGCATATATTCAGACTAAACACTCACACACATAAAAATAAATAAGGTCATTTTCTTCGAATCTAAGATTGTCTTTTAATAAAAAGTACAGACCCAGATATTAGGATGAAAGCTGAAAGATCAGAGAAGCAAAGCAAGCCAAAGCCACCGCCTATTACCTCACCAACTCCACGAATCCTCTGACTAAAATCCTCTGCCTTAGTTCCTGTTTCCTCATGTCTTGTATACCTTTCTTCACCCTGCCATCACTTCCTGGGATTAAAGGCATGTGTGCTTCCCAGTACTGGGATTAAAGTTGTGTGCTACCACTGCCTGGCTCTGTTTCCAGAGTGGCCTTGAACTCACAGAGATCCAGATGGATCTCTGCTTCCCGAGTGATAGGCTTAAAGGTGTGTGCCACCACTGTCTGGCCTCTATGTCTCATCTAGTGGCTGGCTCTGTCCTCTGATCTCCAGGCAAGTTTATTAGGGTACACAATATATCACTACAAGGCCAGATGTGGTGGTACATGCCTTTAATCCCAGCACTGAAAAGACAGAGGCAGGAAGATCTTCCTAAGTTTGAAGCCAGCCTGGTCTACATAGCAAGTTCAGGCCAGCTAGGACAACATACTGAGACCCTGTCTCCATAAGTTACAAGTGAATAGAAAAGACAGACATAGAAAAGACAATTAAAGAAGAAATAGTGGGAACATGCAAGACATGATAGGGAATAAAAAGATATAACCATTCAGGAAAGTAAGCTTTAACATTGCATATGTTGAGCAGTTGATGAAATTATAATGTATAAGATGATATAACACCCAATATTAAAATTTAAGAAAATAACTGGGAGGTGTTTTTAAATTTTATCCTATGTGTTCAGCCAAGGGAAAGTGAAGGCATGTTAGAAAAAGGATAAGGAAGTAAAAATGCTAAGGTTATTATGTGAATAAGAGATAAAATATACTCTGACTTTTTTACTGGTTTCAAAGACAGAATAGGAATGCCTGAAGACATTATGTAGCTCAGATTAATTTATCTGTTTTGTGACAGTGTAATACTAGAATGGTTTAGACAGTTTTTATTTAATTTAAGTAGTTGGTCCTTGAGTAACTAAATAAGCTGTTACTCCTAGACCAGCCGTGATCTTACTGAGCCATGTGCTAAACAGGGATTGGCTGAAAACTGGATGAGGTCATCAATTAAGCATTATGTCCTAGGTGCTCAGAGGGTTTAAAAGGAGGTGCAGTGGCCCTGCCCCACAGGCTCTTCAGTAGTTTCTGAACATCTAGACATCAGGATGTAGAGTAGGTGAGTAGGTACTCCAGTAACTGACTAATGGTCTAAGTTAATATCAGAAGGTAGTCAGACTACAAGTACTAGCGTTAGAGGGCTGGGATGTGGGAGGGAGAACATTGTCACTGAGTTGGGGTGAAGGTGGACTTTGAGTAGAGGAAATAGCTTTAATGTTCAAAGGTTGGCAGGGAATAGGAAGCAAGCCTTGTTCAGAAGATAATCCTATTGGGCTTTTGCAAGGCAGTGGGAAATGAGTTAAGATTTTGTTTGAGGGTTTAATAGGGTTAAGGGATTGGGGTGCCACAAAGGACATCTGACTTAAAAGTGAGTTCTTGTTTATGATGTTTCCCATGCCTGATGTCTGCCAAAGAAAACCATTTAAACCTAATCTTGAAGGTTACAGGAATTTGATAGGAAAGAGACACAAATCTCTACTAAATGTTGAACGCAACGTAAGTAGCAAAATATTTAAGGAAAATATTTTCTTACATTTTTGGGGTGGAGTATATTCTTCTTGCCCAAAATGCGGAGAAAATAACAGATTGCACTAGAAAAAGAGAAAGATTGGAGTCTCTGCCTTACCACTCAGAGACGGTGTTACTACATGAGTGATTGGATGTTAGAGCAAAGGTGAAAGCGGAAGTTCTCCCTCCCCAAGAGCATGGTGGGACTGGGGGCAGCAGGCCCTTCAGGGACTCTGCAGAGCACCTATTTGTGATGCAGAGTCGGAGCAGGAACAATCTTGGCTCCATCTGACTCAAGATAGCTGTTGGTTTTTATATTAGTCACGGCTCATTTCAGAGCGTGCCCTGTGTCTGATGAAGGAAGCAGAGGTATGCGGGGCTTAGTCTTAGGCAAGTTACTCAGCCACTCTGAACCTGGGTTTTCACCTGTCAACTGAGGAGAGTAGTAGGGTTGAGCTCACACTAGGAGCTTTGTGATGTAGGCAGGAGGAAGCGGGTAGCAAGGGCTTCGCAGCAGTGGTTGGCACATGGCACTCAGTACTGCAGCCAATAGTACTTGAAGGAATACATTTATCTTATGGCTCAGAGAAGCACATGTCAAGCTGCTTTAGAGGGAACTCAACTGTCATTTTGGTTTGGGATCCAGACCCCAGCCTAGATGTGAACTAAACTGAGCTTCTGGATTTGGTGGCATGGCAGGGAGAAACTGGGTGTAGCAAGGCAGGAGGCCCTGGTACAAGGGGTTGTGGCCATAGGAATATTCATTTCCATGTCAGCTTTCGGTTTAGTTTGGCACTGACTGTCCTTCAAACAGAGCAGCGTTGTGAGTGGCAGAGGGAGGGAGAAGGAAAGTCAACACATTCTTGGAAATAAGATGTGCCTTTTAGCTTGGGCTGTTTTGTTTGTGCTTCAGCCACAGAAATATTACTTTGCTCTCAGGCTTACAATGAAAATTCCTCCCAGGAAATGGAACAAATCTAAACTTCAGAGGAAACCTTCTTTTCAGGATGACAAGGAGTTAGCGAGACTTCCTTTGATTTTTGTTGTTTTTAATACAGGACTCCTCAGATAAGGCCAGTTAGCTTAAGAATGAAGCTTTACATATACTTAACAGCCAGTTTCCCTCAGATGCCCTTCTGTAGCTATGGTAAACCTTTTAAAAGCTGCATGTCTGCAATATTTCCTGGTGACTTTACCTCAAAGTGTTTATAGGAGTATGTTCTCTCCCCTCCCCACAGACACACAGACACAGACACACAGACACAGACACACACACACACACACACACACAGACACACACACACAGACAGACACAGACACACACACAGACACAGACACACAGACACAGACACACACACACACAGACACACAGACACACAGACACAGACACACAGACACACACACAGACACAGACACAGACACACAGACACACACACAGACACACACACAGACACACACACAGACACACATGCAGATACAGACACACACACACAGACACATACACACAGACACAGACACACACAAACAGACACAGACACACACGCAGACACACAGACACAGACACACACACACAGACACAGACACACACACAGACACACACACAGACACAGACACACACACAGACACACAGACACAGACACAGACACACACACAGACACACACACACAGACACAGACACACACACACAGACACAGACACACACGCAGACACACACACAGACACAGACACACACACAGACACACACACAGACACACACACACACACACACACGCAGACACACACACAGACACAGACACACACACACAGACACAGACACACACACACAGACACAGACACACACGCAGACACACACACAGACACAGACACACACACACAGACACACACAGACACAGACACACACACAGACACACACACAGACACACACACAGACACACACACACAGACACACACACAGACACACAGACACAGACACACAGACACAGACACACATACACAGACACACACACAGACACACACACACACACAGACACACACACACAGACACACACACACAGACACAGACACACACACAGACGCAGACACACACAGACACACACACAGACACACAGACACAGACACACACACACGCACACAGACACACACACACACAGACACACACACACACAGACACACACACAGACACACACACAGACACACACACAGACACACACACACACACACACACACACACACACACACACACTCCATTTTCTATGCATTTGTGAATCACATCTTTGTAATTTGGGGATAAAACTTAGTATAAACCCTGGCAATGAAGTAACTCATTTTCCAAATGTTATTTCCTTGGACTGCAAACATCTGGTTGGGTGTTATAGGAACTGGTCCTAGGTCAATATTTAAAGTGCAGGAAAGCTTTGCATGATCAAGTCAATGGAACTTTTCTGTTCTCTGTTTCTGTGGTAGCATGTGTTTCAAGCAAAATTTCAAGTAGAAAAATTTGGGCATCTACTTGTTGTCCATGAACATATAACCTGGCTGTTAAGTCTGTATTGAATATAAAGCATATTGCATAGAGACTGATATTGCCCTGTAGTGACAGCACACACTTAACGAAAAGAAACCAGTCCTCAATATGTATTCTTTGATATAAAATATAGATCAATATGTTCATAATACATAACACCAAAGCAAGCACCTACACACATAATCTAGCAGGAGAAAATAGCATTTTTCACTCTCACATTTTAAATGTCTGGATATCCAATTATAAAACTTCACTGCTGTGTCTCACTGTATGGACAAAGGGACATATAAATTTGTACGATTGGTGTTGGTTTCAACTCAGTTTTCCAGAGATTACAATTTTTCATGAAAGGATATGTTTTTTATGAAAGAAACAGGAATATATATCAATCAATATATTGACGCTGAGACTTTGTACTAGTCTAAGTCTAGACTAGAATAGTCTCCCCCCGCCACCCCATTATTACTCTCCTCCATTTCTAGAAAGAAAACACTAGGGAATGAACTAATGCGTCAGGAAAAAGGGAGATCAAGGTGCCTATATCACTTCATTAATTAATATGTATTTATGTACTTTTTATATAAGTAATATAAACTTGATTAGAAGAAAATATCCCTACCCTGTTCCCATGAGAAGCAAAAATCGTATCCAAGTGGAGGGCAATCTAATTTTTGTTTTTATTCTTTTCTTTTAGGGCACTAGGGACCTGGAAGGCTGGCCCTTCCAGCACTGCGGGCAGTGATAGACAACTTAACAACTTAACGATGAAGTAAAAAAGGACTGGTGGAGACTAATGGTTAGGAGGCGGGAAAGATTCCATGGGAGGAACAAAAGAATGAAGCAAGCTCCACTAGAACCTTTATATAAGTAATCTCCAGCAGGGGGCGCTCCGAAATTGTCGCAACTTTCCGGACAGCCTCCTAGACTTGACCCTCTAGAAAATCGTAGCGTGTTTCCGGCTCTTCTCAGTTGCAGATACTCGTAAGTTTTCGGCAATTTCCGGGGAAACTCGGGAACTCCCGCGCCTGGCTGGCTCGAGTGTTCGCCCCGTGCGGAGGCGCAGGGTCTCGGGCTAGTCATGGCGTCCCCATCTCGGAGGCTGCAGACTAAACCAGTCATTACTTGTTTCAAAAGCGTTCTCTTGATCTACACTTTCATCTTTTGGGTGAGACACGGGAACGGCTGGGGAACCCTGGCTTAGGCGGTGGGTGTGACTCGGAGCAGAGAACCTCAGGTCTGGAATGGGATGAGGTTTGGGCGGCTATGGTTCCGGAGACCCCGGCGCTGGTGACGAGTGGTCTAGGCCACAGTGCTGGGGTCCCTGAGATTGGAGCTGGGGCGTTGTATTGTAGCATTGGCGCTGGGATCTTGATGTGAGGTGCCTGGTTGAAGTGGGACCCAGATGTCTCAGGAGATCCAGGTCGGAGAGAGAGATGAAGAACGGAGTTAAGGCTCCTAGAGCACAGATGGTGTCTCTGAACCTTTGGAGATGAGAGACTTGTCTCCTTCCCTTTGAGGGGTCTTTTGCATAATAATATCTCTCTTTTCACTGCTTCATAAGAGGGGAGTTTTTCACAGGTAAGTATGGTGTGATCCTCTTCCTGCCAGTCTATCCTTGGATTTTTCTTTTGTGTACCACCCCTTTGTATCCCATGTCCATCCCTAAATTGGGGATGGGGATGCAAGAAGTTTCTGGAATCCAGAAATGCTTTTGACCCTCCCCCTTACAAGATGGCTTTCTTTCTCTGTCGGGAGTAAACTGCTTAAGGAAATTTTGATCTCTAGACGCGTATGCCATTGGGTATGTGCTTTACACAATAAAACAGATGTATGCAATTTTGAGAAGATGCCTTGTCCATAAGCTTCTTTTATTTGCAGAACCCTTTCCTGCATCATGGGCACCTGCCCTCCCCGACCCCCATCCCTTATCCTATCGCACTGTGGCAACCAGACTGCTGAAATTAATTCTCGCACACATTGTGTCTTAGACACTTACTGAGTTTGTGATAGAAGATATAAGCTTGTATGGTGCCTAATTGTTTCTTTCTCTGATTTCTCACGTAGATCACTGGTGTTATCCTTCTTGCCGTTGGCATTTGGGGCAAGGTGAGCCTGGAAAATTATTTTTCCCTCTTAAATGAGAAGGCCACCAATGTCCCTTTTGTGCTTATCGGCACAGGCACTGTCATCATTCTGTTGGGCACCTTTGGTTGTTTTGCTACCTGTAGAGCCTCGGCATGGATGCTAAAACTGGTGAGTCCTTGATTTCTTTAGACTATTCTTGGTTTTCCTAGAAAAGTCTCACATGTGCTAGCCTAGCATCTTTGTTTCTCAGAACTGACCACAGCTGTTTACACTTTTTCCCTTTCCTTATGAAAAAAAAACTAACTGTCCCATTACTGGCTTCCATATTTAAGTAGACATTTTAATCCTGCTTTCCCTGCCCTTTCCAGTGAAAATATGTTGAACTGGTTGCACAGAATTCCACCCTCCTCCTTGCAACTGCTGAGTCTTGTTGTACTAACTTGAATTTTTTTTAAATTTTTATCTTACAGTACGCGATGTTTCTGACACTCATTTTCTTAGTCGAACTAGTTGCCGCCATTGTAGGATTTGTTTTCAGACATGAGGTAAGCCTGAATTAGACAATCCTACTGCGTTAAAATTTGCCCTCTTATCTCGGGTAAATTAAGGAGCACAGTTCGTTAGCTTTCATTAATTTTAAAAACCACTTCAAGCTGTATTTCAAGCTGAGCTTTCAATCTGCATCTGATGATAGTGGATTTCCAGTAAAAATTCTGACATGCTTGTAGTGTAAATGAGCATTCAAAAATTTGTAGAATGATAATCACTAGAAGAAAATGGTACCACAGTCACACTAGCTTCTAGTTGTAATTTGGTGCACAAACACCTTTTAAAGTGGACCTTTATAACATTACTAATAGGAAAGTAAAATACAAAGTTCATAACAAAGTTAATACTATCCCAGAAGTCACATATTGAAAAGATATAATTAATGCAAATCATTACAATCTTAATAGTCGTATATTAAAATCAACTGAACATGGCACTGTTGTGAAGCCATTCATCAAGTAGGGAGGGTGTGTTCAAGTGCTCTTTGAACTGTCAGTGCGGTCTTCGGAAGGAAAAAGTTGCAGCCCCATTGGATAGGCATCAGACTTGTACGTGTAGAAATATTTCGGCTGAAGACTGAAGGCTGAGTACATGCTCTCATAGCCCCTTTAGCTTGTAGTGAGACACATTGTAACATCTTACTTAATAGTCCTTTCAGTCAAACGATATCCCTTAGTAGACAGAATTGGACCACGGAAGCTAATTACCACACATCAAAGATCTAACCATTGGGCAGATATGAGAATTTCTTATTTGCTATAGAAGAATCAAAGTATTTTCTTGAATGCTTGTTGATTGGCATTTTACTTTTCTGATACAGATTAAGAACAGCTTTAAAAATAACTATGAAAACGCTTTGAAGGAATACAATTCCACAAGGGATTATAGAAGTGAAGCTGTAGACAAGATCCAACGTACGGTAAGTGGGTAGAGCTGGTGCCTTTTCAAGAGGGAAGTACATTCCTTATTGCTTCAGAGGAAAGGCTGGCTGGCTCTAGGCTGCCAGCTGTTTCCCGCTTGTGTGGAAAACCGGTGTGGGGTGATACTACATAGCTCTGTGTTATCCTACCTACGTGTCCTTGTTCTCTTCCTCTCCACTTACATCATAGACAAACACTGTTAGTGCCAACTACGACAGGGCAGTAAAGCCGGTCGAAAACGTTGATGCTTCTTGTTCAAGTGCCAGTCTCTTGAATTCATCAAGAAGAGAGATTGTCGAGTATATTACCTATTGTTTGGGTGACCTATTATAATAGAAGATGATGTAAGGTTAACTGTTTGGCTGCAAACCAGTAATATGAACGACTACAAATACTTTTGAAATTTTTTTTCAGTTGCATTGTTGTGGTGTCACGAATTACAGGGATTGGAAAGGTACTAATTATTACTCAGAAACAGGATTTCCCAAGAGTTGCTGTAAACTGGAAGGTTGTTTTCCACACAGGGATGCAGATAAAGTTAACGAAGAGGTAAGGCTCCTCTTAGGACTTTTTATTTGATGGTATTTGAGGATTGAATGGAATACAAAATGGACACAGGTGTTACTCGCATGAATATACACTTTCGGGGTAGCTGGTACTTGCATTTCATACAACTAGCAAGCGACTTTCCAATGCACAATCCGAATGGTGGAACTAGTTGAGACTGAGGGTAGATGAAACAGGCTGGGTTTCAGGAAAATGATAATCCAGGGCTAATAGTAGTTCACCACCATGTTCTGGGGACAACTGACTGATCGAAGTAGTAATTGCCAGGAAGAAGAGGAGAGCTTTCTTGGTTTGTACTGAACGGCTTTCCCTCTCTCCTTAGGGTTGTTTCATAAAGGTAATGACAATTATAGAGTCGGAAATGGGAGTCGTGGCTGGAATTTCTTTTGGAGTTGCTTGCTTTCAGGTAAACTTTCTTTGTTATTTTGAAATGTCTCATTCTTGTAGGTATAAGAGAAGGTTTTTTTGTTTTTGTTTTTATTTTTGATTTTGTTTCTTTGAGACAGAGTCTTACAATGTAGTCCTAGCTGTCCTGGAACTCAAAATTAGACCAGGCTGTCCTTGAACTCAAGAAGATCCACCTGCCTCTCCCTCTCAAGTGATGTAATAAAAGGCGTGCGCCACCACCGCCCGGCTGGTTTTCACTTTTAAGACATGACAGTTTTGCTTCGGGGACTGGACAGTGAAGACGATGTAAGAGAAGTCTCAGTTCTCACAAAGCAGTTAGTTGTTCATCACAGGATAGCAATCCTCTGGCTTTTCTTATGGTGAAGTCATGGGACTTAATTGGGATGTATATTATTGATTTTGATTTGTAATTGAGTCGTTATTTAGTTAATTTTTTTAAGTGGAGGATTTCCTGACTCCTGTGTTTTACACGACTACAAATAACTCTAAATTTTAATTCCCAGTGTCATAGCCTCATAGCCAGTCATGCCTTGAATCTATAAAAGTAAGACTTAGAATTTAATCCTACCAGTAAGTATACAACATACATATATACATACACGTGTGTGTGTGTGTGTGTGTGTGTGTGTGTGTGTGTGAGAGAGAGAGAGAGAGAGAGAGAGAGAGAGAGAGAGGAGAGAGAGACAGAGAGAGAGACAGAGACAGACAGACAGAGAGAATGGGGCTTGAACCAAGAGTCTTAGCAATAGTGTGTAAGCACTCTACCACTGAGCCACATCCCAGGCCCAGCACATACTGTCAGAAAGCAGTTAACTGTGAGAAGACACACTACCCTCATAGTTGGCCGAAAGATAAATTGATAGGAATCTTGCTTTTATTCTGTGATCAGTATCAGTCAGGGTTCTAAAACTTTATTAAAGTCTTTTTTTCCTTGAGCTGCAACTGGCTGATGGGTTGTAAATAGATCACACAAGTCTCTACTATAAATTGAATTTCTTCCCCTGAGTTGTGCTGTTCACTGTAGCATGAAAAGTTTGTGTATGATTTGGAGTGAATTTTTAAAGTGGGTGTTTTTTTTTTTACATTTAGCATTATAGAAGTAAGACTAATGCAAGGCTAGTCTCAATATATTTACAGAGTAGCATTCCTTACTATTTAAATCTGCACCAGTGTAACAGCTACTAGCCACCTTCAGTCTAAGGAGTAGATAAAAGTAAAACTCCAGCTGCTCTAACTACGTTTAAGTCCTCTGCAGCCACATAAGGCTAACGCCTATTGTACTGGACAGCACAAGTACATCCAAGAAATTACTTGTCCACATTGGTTGGGATTTTACTTGATAAGATGTGTATTATAAACAATATGTTCATTTTCTTTTCAGTAGCTGACCCATGACTCCTGAGTTTTCCCTTAGTGTCGGTTGTGAAGTTCTGGGTCATGGTTAGTAGAAAGGCTTTTTAGGGTCTTTGAATGTGACCTAGGCACTGCAGAAGTAGCTAGCTTAATTAGTCAGGTGGAAAAAAAACATTAAGGAAGAAAATTATTGGTGAATTACAAATAAAATGAGAATACATTCATATCCTGAGCTCTTTAATTCTTTGTACGTGTGTGTTTAATTTTGTTCATATTTTCTCAACAGCTAATTGGAATCTTTCTCGCCTACTGCCTCTCACGTGCCATAACAAATAATCAGTATGAAATAGTGTAACCAGTAGACACACGGGCTTATTTCTCTCTTACTTTAAGGTGCGTTCAGTTTGGTTCTTAACACTGTTCATATTGAGATTATGGTAGCTTGTGCATATGAATTATGAACTAAGTTTTCCAAGGTCTTCTCCAGTAGCTTATTTAAATCTTGTTGGTGTCAAGCACTGTTTAGGTGGGTCAGGGTTCTAGTTGCAAGGCTGGTCTAAAAGTATTAAGGTAGCTTATCCATGCTTGCTTTTCAAGCATTTGTTCAATAAAAGAGCATGTCTGAATTTAAGTGCTCATCTACACATGTCAACCCAAAGATCACAAGAGGTCTCCTTTCTCATGTGTGTTGACCTTGAGTAGGGAGAAATAATCTAACCTTGACTTTTAATTTGTGAAGCGTTAGGGGAAATACGTTCTGCTCTTGATTAATCTTGGCATTTCCCCTAGATCTTAATTTTCATTCACTATACCTAATCAGTGCTTAAGAGTGTTGCTTGGTTGAAAAATATTTTTGGTAGACTAGATTTAGATATATGAAATTCATCTGGCTTAAACCAGAAACCAGATGTTGGGGGCAATTGTTACTGGTTGAATTAATCTCTCGTGTACCTGTCATATTTTAATTGGGCACAGCCTGGGAGCTTATGGGGAAGTCTTCATTAGTGGGAATAGATCAGAATGCGGGCAAATGCAGATGATGACATTTAGGTAACAACTCAATTGACCTTTCTTTTTCTTTAATTTTTGGATATTAAGGTTGAAGGTTACCCTTATGAGCTATCATCACCTGGATGGAGACTGGCATCTAATTAGCCTGATAAACAGCACCAGTAGACTGATTCGTCAAGATATTTGTGTATCGTGGTCTATGTCCATCTTTTGCCCTATTCATATATCCCTGAGTCTCTGAAACACTGGAAGAGCTAGTAAATTGTAGATGAAATAATACCATGTTTCCCTTGAATTTTATTTCTCAGTGTGGGGACTGTGAAAAGTGCTGTGAATTTGCTATTTTGATTCAGTGTTGATGGAAATTTCACCCATATGAATCTGCTGTTTCTGTAGTATGATAGAAAATTGGTCTCCCTGAGTGGGCCTCTAACTAGTCAAGACTATGTGGCTTGATTGTCTAATCTGCACCAAGAAGGAAAGTGTTTCATTAGTCTCTGTTCATAGGCAGAGTCATGTTGTATAATTTCTTTCCAGCTAGTCATCAGATGGTGCCCATCATTAGCATTCCTGGGTGGTGGGAACTGTCTCAGGCTTTGGGTGCAAAGCATTGAAACTAGGAAGAACTACCTATGTTCTGTGACACATCTGCTTTCAGCACCCAGTGTATGTATTTTTGTCTCCAAACTAAGGCATTTATACTGATTATACTTTGTTATTTGAAAAATTATTATTACTTTTATGGTATCAGAACTATTGTATTTTCTTTATGCATTTAATGGAACTTATCTTGATTAACTTTAGCTAGATTTTCCTTACCAAGCTGAAATAATAGTTCACATCAACTGTCAACATTTTGGTTAATTTTAATAGTGTTCGTTTTGGCTTGTATCCTTGATTAATAAATATACATCCTTTACACAATAAACACTGCATTTCCTCTAAAAGAATCATTTTAATTTTTAGAAAATCTACTAGAATGGTTGTTTTCCACTGAGAAAGTGAAGCCCTACATTTCCACATGGAGTCCCAGTTTTAGGGATGAAACGTAAGGCCAAGACCTTGACTCTGTTATTAAAAAAATATCTCCATCTAAAAATAGTATTCTCTATGGTAAGACCACATTTAAAGTTATTAAATAGCATACTTAACATTTTCCTAAGAGGTCAGACTTTTTGGTCAGATAGTTTGCATTGAAAAGTTGCGTAAGAAATCATGTAACCTCCTGTATCGTTAGAACAATGAACTTGTTAGTTCATTGACTTCGAGTCTGTGCATCCAATAGTGAACCCTGTTTCATCACATAGTCCCCGAATTCATGGTAATGAGTCAATTTCTATTCTCAATAAAATGGTCCAAAACTACCCAGTTTGTGATAAGGAAGGTGACCAGTTGGAGGGGAAGAGGGCACAAGGAAGGTTAGTGTGGAATATGATCTGAGTTTATTATATACATGCATAAAAATGAAATAAAAGGCTGGGCTGGGGCTCAGGGGTAGAGCATTTCCCTAGCAGGTATGGGACCCCAATTCTTAGTCCTGCAAAAAAAAATAAAAGAGAAAAAAAGGAAAATGAGACCCAAACAACCTATGGCACTGGAGAGTTTGCTCAGTTAAACAGCTTGCCTTGGCTTGAAAGCACAAAGACCTGAGTTCTATCCCTGGGATCTACCTTAAACCAGTCAGGTAAGGAGTTGCATGCTTGTAATCCCAGTGCTGGGGAGGTAGAGACAGGAAGATCCTTGGGGCCTGCTGACCAGCCAGCCTAGCCTACTTGGTGACTTCCATGCCAATGAGAGACTCTTGTCTCAAGAAACAGGAAAGAAGATGGATGGCACCTGACACTTAGGTGTTAATATGTACACTCCCCCATGAACACATGTACACAAACACAAAATTTCATAATGAAACCCACTTTGAGCAATTAGGAGATGCCAAAAACCAAAAAACCTAGTTCATGAAGTTCAGATACTTGTGTTGAAATGCTTGAAGTTGTGTAAAAAGGATATTCTCGAATTCTTGATAGGTGTGACTTCCGACATAAGAATGCTAATAATACAATGGTGGTTACACTTCAAATTCGAGAAGTCAGATTTCTAGGCATAGGGGTTAATGACTGTATGGAAATAAGCATTTCAAGGATCATCACAACAGTTTTTCAAAGACATTTTTAATCTTAAAAAGCCTGTAAAGGTTTTCTTTAGTGTTTGTAAAAAGTTTCTTTTTTCCTCACTGAAAACAACTGTAGGAAATTAAAATATGGGAAGCAGAGGAAGAAAAAAATAGTACGCCTCTCAGTATGCTTCCAAGTGGCTTGGTTAGTTTTAAGTCGGACTCATTTTGGATGGTACACAACAAAAGGCTACTCATAAAGCTGCCATATGGTTGTGCGTACTGGATTGTAAACCTTAATTCTGGTGGCGATGAGTGAGTGCCCTGGCTTTCTCAGATTCTATCTGAGCAGTGAAAACTTTCATACTCCTTCGCTGCTGAGAACAGCTGGTGACACTGGGGATCTAGTGATGTAAGTCAAGCTGATGCCCTTTCCACCGGTGCCCCTTCCCATGCTGACATAACCCATAATAGTTCGCTGAATGAATTCTTTCTGTGACATAGGCGGGCAGTTGAGTCCTCATAAAAAAAATTCCTTTGAAACTTTGTTTTTATAAGAATCTGGCAAACTGGCTCTTTTTCTCTATAGCATACCCATGTTTAAATTGAAAATGATTCTTCGTCTTTGGCATGTCAAATGCATCCAGTGGGCTGCCTTACTGTCAGACATATGATGTTTGCACTGCAAGGGGGCCTCTGACCTCCACTTGGAGACACAGAGCTCTGTAGGCATATTTTCTGAAGCTGTGGAATGCTTGGTAATTTTCCATGGCCTGTTCCATGTGGCCGGTCAGTTTATGTTGTCGGCATTGAAGTACAGACAGACAGACATACAAGGTAGAAATACCATTTCTGTTTTCCCTCCGAGCTCACATGAGATTCTTTGAAATTTGCTCTTTTTACCCTCCCAATCGACATCCAAGTTAGTAATTTGCCAGTAGCATGGCCAAACAAATCTGCTAAGTTATGAGATGCAAGGCAATATAAGCATTTGTGTGTGTGAAACTGGGTTGATTTCTTTGGACTATGTTGTGTGGGTTTCTGTGTTTGTAGAGTAAAATCTCACACAAGATAAAAATACCATTCCTGCCTTTCCTCACAGTATTCTGATTTTACTATTTTTTTTCCAAATTGGTGCCCCTAGCTCTAGGTCAGCAAACCTAACCTTCCTAATTAAAAAAAAGGAAAAGAAAAAGCTACTATATTAGAAAAGAATATATAAATTGAAAATAGCTACAGGGAAGTGAGACTTTCATTTTTAAAGAAGTCTCTAAAACTTTGCCCAGATTGCTTCTAAGAAAGGAGTATTGTGATTTAATTATGGCTTTTCTATTAGGTGCCCTACCCCATGGAGCTTAGTGGAGTTAGGCACTAGGAGAGCACCGTAAATGCTAATGGAATAAATGAGTGAAGGAGTGAGTCTAATTATAATGACTCTTTAATGTTCTAGGATAACCAAGATGTTCATCTAAATATCTCGTTATATAGAAGCCAGTGTTTATATAACAAACCACCTACCTACCCAGAAACCACTTAACCTCAGAAACCACTGTGAACCTCCTCTAGTCCGATCACTTCTTGTCGCTTCTCTTCCTCCAATCCTTTGCTGTATCTGATGCCATTGAAAACTCCACCCGCCCCCCCCTTGTTTTATTTTGACTGCATAAGATGCTGATCTTTCCGTTCACTGATCTTTCTAGTTGACTGGAATTTCCTCTTTTCTGATGTCCTTGAGAGGGCTTGCATTTGCTTTTCTGTTCTTCTGTTATGCTCATTTTACCTTGAGGAACTCAATGTAGATGATGAACAGGGCTACTTCTTACATGCTTCAGTTTTGTGTCAGTCCTAGACACTCATTTGCATTCCCCTTGTCCTCTGACACTTAGAAGCTTAGCACTCTGAATACGCAAACATCCCCCAACAGCCTTTTATGGCATCTGATGCATGGCCAATAACAACTACACATTTGGTGTTCACCGAGTTGCCTCTTTCACCAGGGTGATGCGCTTTATGAGATTTGGGGGGAAATGGGGCAGATGTTGTAAAAATTGATCCTCATTGGCTCTGCCACATACATTTATCCTGTGATCACAAATTCTTTAGGTAGGATTGCCATCCCTGATCTGGTGGTGGTATCATCAGCATATCTTCAAAGTTTTGTTTAAGAAAGTTTGAAATGGTGACTTGGAAGGGCTTTTCTGTGTTGGAAAACAGAAGCTTTTCACCACCTCTTCTCGGAAAATATGTCTGGTAGCAATATCCCAAAGCAAGTCAAATGGACTTGGTATGCTAGGCACATCAATTCACAAGTATGTCCACTCAGTGTAGAGTGGCTGTAACAGCTACTCAACTCAATCAGCTGGAGCATGTGGAGTAGCTCCATTGTGTAGAACTGGGGGGATATACCTAGGTACAGCATAGGAGATTTTTGAGGGATACAGTGTGGCTGCATTGCATTTTCACTGTCTGGAAAGGCTATAGCTTTCTTAGAAGAGAAATGTTATGTTAAGAGAAAGTAGACCATTGGCCCAAAGAATTTTCTTTCCTAACTTAATTCCTTCTCCAGAGGGGAGCCAGAGGATTGTTGTTTCTTTGAGATCTCACTAGTTGCTCCAGTTAATTGACCACCACAGGTAGGCAGTGCGATCCCATTCCTCACCTTAAAGATGAAGATTTGGTTATCCAATTTGTCCAAGGTCATATAGCTGGTAGTGACAGATCTGGGATTTGAACATAAATCACATTTTGAATCTATGCCTCTTTCACTGGATTTTTACTTTATCTTGTTTGTGATGTGTTGTGCAGCTTGCAAGTGCATGCGTGTGTGTGATTGGGAACGGAACTCAAGGTCTTGGGCAGGATAGGGAAGTGTTTTGCCATTGAGCCACATACTTCTAACCCTACATAATGTTTTCTTTTGATTTTGTTGCATCTTTATATCCAAGGAGATACTATGTGACACAGCCTATATCTAGCAAACAGAAAAACAACAAACAAAAGCAACCCCCGCCCCCGCTTTCCAGATATTTCTCATCAGTCTTTACTACATGTGAAATCTTCAAAAAGAAAGGCCTTCATGAAAAGTAAATCCTGTTTTCTCACGGCATGCCCATGAAAGGTGTTAGTATACAGTAAGTACATTATTACAAACCAACCCACCCTGTTATTCCTGGTGGACCCCTCAAAATTACTGAATCAAGGTAATGATCACAAAAAGTTTATTATAGTTTAAACATTAAGCACTAATTTTATGCATCTTGTTGCACAGCTAAAAGTTCACAAGCTGTTATTTCCTTTGATAGTAAAGATACTTCCTATCTCTTGGTTGTTTTTATAGTCTATTCCCAAGTGAGTGTCTTGAACAGGAAAGAAAACCAGATAAATAAATCAACCTCTACTGCACAGACACACACATGCCAGAGGCAGAATCACTCTCCCCCTGTAGGCACAAATCCAGACAGTTTTCATTAAATGGACTTCTTTTCTCATGAGCAAATGCATGCGAGAATCTCTTCCCCTGTCGGTCAGCAGTAATGTTCTAGGCAGCTAGCACCCCTGTTGGAACCGAGGATATTCTGGGGATTGGGAACTTCACACCAGAGCTCACTGCAGCCCTGAATCCAATTCGATCAGAGTTTTGTCAAGCAGTGCAAATAGCATAGGCTATTAAAGTGTGTCTCAACCCTATCCAGTCCTTCTTGGCCTCAGAGCACCTTGGGCTCTGATATCAGAAGGACGAAATGTAGCAGAAAGTGTGTCATGGTAATTAATGGAGAATTTGACCTCCTGAAAACCATTCTTCAAAGAACTGGAAAAAG